GGGAGAGGGAACAGAGGGGGTGAATGAGGTGGAAGTAATGCGGAGTGCAGCCGCGTGGTTGCTTGGGCTTACATGTCAGGATGAAGAATGAGGGACGGGGAGGGCTGAAGGGGTCTATCAGACATCAGACTACAAGGAACAGCAGCCTGAGCGGAGGGACGTGCTGGGCCTGCTGCTGGACTGGGCGCGCTGGTCCAGCGGTGGAGTCCGGAATCCCAATCCCTGACCTTGTCAGACGCGCAGATATCATCAGGCTGTTTGCGTTGCTTTGCATCTCAGGCACTGGGGGCTGACCGTCGACGCGCACACGGCCAATCAGCGCGCGGGCAAGAATTACTGGACAGATAGTGTACAATGTAACTGTCAAAGGGCATGGCAATTAATTCGCTGTGTCCTGCTACAGTTGCTATCATTAGCAGCATACTGTCGTACTCATCTGGTCCCTCGCCGCTGGAGAGCGAGAGCCTTCCAGAGACCCGTCTTGCAGGAATGAACTCGCCAGGTGGCATGCTCGAGCTGCGAATTCGCTTGCCTCGTTTTCTCAGTGAGACTGCTGGCACACATGAATGACGAATCTTACTCTCCCCCTGTACCGAAGATGGTGGAGGGACGTGGGAGCCTGCGAGCCAACCCACTAAACTCAGCGCTTAAGCAGTCATCGGACTCCGAACATCCAGACCGGCGACCATGCAACGAACGGTTGCCCACTCACCATCTGCAATGGCGGCGCCCGCTATACCGAAAGAATGCGCGAGGCTCACACTTCCCCCGATTAGCTTCTTCTCGAAGGACATGAAACATTCCACACGGGCTTGACGAGCCTCACGAGCCCCCTCGGTTACCAACCACCTCCCCCTTCTGTCCTGAACGACCCGCATCATGATTCCCGCGACCGATTCGACGCTGGCCATGGTGTTGGCGGCTTACCCCAGGAAATCCCGTTCAGCGCGCTCCCGCCGCTAGCCTCAGGCCGTCGGCTCCTCAACCCCGAGTCAATGGCGCCTTAAAGCGCGGTCGCTGCCCTCATAGGCTGCCAGCCCAACCTGCGCTTCTGCTAGTGGAAGACGAGGCCGCACAAGGCTGCTGCAAGGCTGGCCAATCTGACTTATAGTGAGCGAGAGTTAGCGACTCACCACCACCAACCACCACTACCCTGCTCTACCGCCGTCCGTTGCCTCTGCGTAACAGCTGCTGCCTCGGTGAGGTAAAAGAGGGCGGCGGCCGGTCATAGGATGTGAGGTGATGTGATGTGATGCAATGCTCCTGGTGGCAGACTCCTACCGTTTGATCGATGCCTGATGATGTTGTGAAGGTGTGGTCCTGAAGGACTGTGGCGTGTCCCATGAGACGAGGACGATGTGAAGCGACAGCCTTCTTTTTCCCAATCCGGGATATTGTTTATTCGCCTTGAAAGTAAAGGGGGCGTAGTTCATCTCTTTGCACAATCGCCTTTTATGAAATAGTACTTAGGATTCCAAGGACTGCAGCCAGTTGTCACGGATCCGGGTCCGAATCCCTCGAACAAATGCCTCGTCCAGTTGCTCTCTGCCAAAAACGCCCTTTCAAATAAGCAACTTCGCGCGCAAGCCAATGCCCTTCCGCCTGCAAATTCCGTTGAGTTGATTTTTCAAATCCATGCAGGAAGCAACACTCCCGCAATCTCTCTGGCATTTCACATGAAACAAACCTTACCGCTGCACTTCTCATCCCTAAGCCAAGATACCTCACGTGTGCGAGCTCAGAGGTTCTGCCAACCGTTGCACATGTGCCAGCGCGCCAATCATCCGCTCGTGAAAGCGTTCACCAGCGCCGAACCATCAATCGGCGGGCGTAAATCTGACTCTCGCACGAATCTGGTAGCCGCGGAGATTTCCTTACCGCCCTTCCGTTCCACGGGATCCTGCTCCTCTCCGTCCACTAGCGCTGGAACCCCCGAAAATCGCGGTGAGGCTCCAAGACTCGATTCTCTTTCCTTTCCAGGTCACTGCTGGGCTCTTCACAGAACTTAAAAAGCTCGTCGCTGCTCTGCGCTGCCATGGCATAATTTGGAGAACGGTAAGTCTTGTGTCAGCCTGCTTGCCTGGAAAGGAGGAACGGCGACGAGAAGTGAGCCAACGCGCTAGTGCGCTTTTGGAATGTGGTGGGTTTAGCGACTTTTTGAGATAGAGATGTAGGCAAAGGGTTCACCGGTGAGGTCGCTGGTACCGACCGAGTCAGTAGTTGTTAGGAGTTACGGTTACATTGATAATGGAGCTATAACAATCCTGAAGATTCTTTGCGCTCGAGGGCTCTTTTGCGTGTGAAAGGCGACAAAAGTTTGTGAAAGTGGCAGAAGTTGTGACGGCACGTTCCACATCCCTGACGCTTGAGCATCTCCCTATCACATGCTTGCAGCTCGGGCTCCCTCTTGTCATGTTACCGCTTGCCCCTGTGCTAGCACCTAGGCAAGAGGTATATCTTCGAACTGCAGAGCAGCTGCTCTGCTCTTTAATTTGATCTAGTTAGGCTACACCACTTTCTTGTTGCTTGAGCATGACGATCGTGATAGAAGTAAAAGGAATTTGTTAGGCATCATCTCATGCCGTTACCCGGGTCGACTAATAAGTCACGGATATCGGTTAAATGTATTTCCGCCATATGAGCTGCTGAGAAAACGCCACAGCCAAGAAGTGCAGGGCATCCACCTCCTCAGCCTTGTCCGACATTGTCTAGCCTTCAAGGCGAGGATGAATTACTACACTCTCTGCCATGTCGGCATACAGTAGGGCTCTGCCCAATAGTGTTTGCATCCTTGCCACTCTTTTGCGAGATTTTCACTTCTCGATATCTGTACTTCTCCTCGGGCTAGGAGACAAGCCACATTCTGCAATTAAATGGCTGAAGCTCTAGCAGTAGTCGGCATTGTCGCCAACATAGTCCAGCTCGTTGACTTCGGCTCCCGGGTTCTGAAACGCCTTGAAGAATATCAGTCCAGTCTCGCAGAGATTCCGGAAGCGTTCCGCCACCTCAAAGCTGAGCTGCCCATGCTGCTAGATGCCCTCCAGCAGACAAAGGCAGGGATTGATGCCGGGTCTATGCAAGATGAAACTAAAAAGGCCCTTGTCCCTGCTGTTGAAGGGTGTGGAGTACAAATAAAGGCGCTAAATGAAGTAATCGCGAAAGCGCTGCCCGCATCGGGTGACTCTTGGGCCAGACGAGGCGGGAAGGCAATTGGAAGCCTTCGGTACGACGCAAAGGTGCAGAAGATAACAGCCATAATTCGAGGGTACATCCAGACCCTGACATACCATGCCGCTATCTCCCTAAGACCCTTAGCAGGTATATCTTTCCCATGCACTAAGGGTACATATTTACTTCTAACAGTTCCTCAATCTCATCCCGCCCCTTGCTCCACTACTCCTTTCCAGCGTGATCCACACTTTGTAGATCGCAGCATCCTTGCGGAAATTGATTTTAAGAACCGCCAGTCTACGTCTAGATTAGCGCTTGTTGGCCTTGGTGGTGTTGGGTAGGTAGCAAGCCTCCTGCTCTCCTTAAGGCATACATTGACAAGTTGGAAAGGAAGTCCCAGATTGCCATCGAGTACTCCTACCGGGTACGAGACAAGTCGCAGGATACATGGGTGTTCTGGGTGCATGCAGACACGCAAGCGAGGTTTGAGGAGGGCTACCGGAGAATTGCTGAGACGGTGAAGGTAGAAGGCTGGGATAACCCTAAAGCAGATGTTCTGCGGCTTGTTCGCAGTTGGATGTGTGATGGATCGAACAGGCAGTGGGTACTGGTTGTGGACAATGCGGATGATTTGGGTGTCTTCTTCCATAACAGGTCGCAAACTCGTGGAGCAGACAGCCTAGATCGATCAGTAGAGCTGCTCTCAGACTTCTTACCGCAGTCGCCGAACGGATTGATCCTTATTACCTCTCGGAGCCAAGATGTAGCATACAGACTGACGGGAAGCTATGCCTCCATCATGAAAGTTCAGCCAATGGACTGGGACGAAGCGCTAACTCTTCTCCAGAAGAAGCTCAGTCCTAACACCGACCAACATAACGCTATCAAACTGCTACAAGCTCTTGACTACATGCCCCTTGCCATTACGCAGGCAGCGGCTTATATTGAACAAAGAGCACCACGGATGACCATCTCGCGATACCTAGATGTGGTTTGCAGAAGCGACTATGACCGAGCCCGTCTGCTAAAGAAGGACGTGGGAGACAGTCGCAGGGACGGTAGAGCATCTAACTCCATTATCACAACCTGGCAGATCTCGTTCGAATATATCCGGAAGGAGATGCCCACAGCCGCTCGACTCCTCTCACTAATGAGTCTTTTTGACAGGCAAGGGATCCCAGATTCGCTTCTGCACAATCAATACCAGCAAGACAAGGATGAGGAAGCCGACTTTGAAGAAGATATCCATACTCTGACCAGCTATTCCCTGGTTGGGATGAATGCGGATGGACGCGAGTTTAAAATGCACCGGCTGGTGCAGTTCTCGATGAAGAAGTGGCTGGAGTTAAACCAGGAGCTAGAGCAGTGGAAAGAGGAGTATGTGAGGCTTATGGATAACAGTTACCCAGTGGGAAAGCACAAAAACTGGGCATTGTGTCAAGCCCTGTTTCCACACGCTCAAGCAGCGGTAGGGTGCCGGCCGACCAGTACAAAGGCGCTAGAGGAGTGGGCATCGGTGCTTTTCAAGGCTGCGTGGTATGCCGGCGAAATCGGACAATACAACGTGGCAAAGGAGATGGGTGCCAGTGCTTTACAGGCGAGAGAGGCTACCCTAGGAGCTGAGCACCCAGACACGCTAAATAGCATCAACGGTCTTGGTGTAATATTATCACGGCAAGGCAAGTATAAAGAAGCCCAGGCAATGAATAGGCGAGCGCTGGGGGGATGTGAGAAGACGCTGGGGAAAGAGCACCCGGACACGCTGACTTGCGTGAGTAACCTGGCTTTGGTGCTGCAGCATGAAGGGAAGTACGAAGCAGCGGAGGAGATGAACCGGCGAGCGCTGGAAGGAAGAGAGAAGACAGTGGGGAAAGAGCACCCGGACACCCTGATTAGCGTGAATAACCTGGCTTTGGTGCTGCAGCATCAAGGGAAGTACGAAGCGGCAGAGAAGATGAGCCGGCAAGTGCTGGAGGGAAGGGAGAAGACGCTGGGGAAAGAGCACCCTTCCACGCTAACCAGCGTGAGCAACGTGGCTGCGGTGCTGCGGTGTCAAGGAAAGTACGATGCTGCAGAGGAGATGAGCCGGCGAGTGTTGGAGGGAAGAGAGAAGACGGTGGGGAAAGAGCACCCTTCCACGCTGACCAGCGTGAGTAACCTGGCTTTGGTGCTGCAGCATCAAGGGAAGTACGAAGTAGCAGAGGAGATGAACCAGCGAGTGCTGGAAGGAAGAGAGAAAACGCTGGGGAAAGAGCACCCAGACACGCTGACTAGCGTGAGTAACCTGGCCTTTGTGTTGCAGCATCAAGGGAGGTACGAAGTGGCGGAGGAAATGAGCCGGCGAGCGCTAGAAGGAAGAGAGAAGATGATGGGGAAAGAGCACCCTTCCACGCTGACCAGCGTGAGCAACGTGGCTTCGGTGCTGCAGTATCAAGGAAAGTATGAAGCGGCAGAGGAGATGAGCCGGCAAGCGCTGGAGGGAAGAGAGAAGACGCTGGGGAAAGAGCACCCTTCCACGCTGACCAGCGTGAGCAACGTGGCTTCGGTGCTGCAGTATCAAGGAAAGTACGAAGCCGCAGAGGAGATGAGCCGGCGAGCACTAGAAGGAAGAGAGAAGACGCTAGGGAAAGAGCACCCGGATACGCTGACTAGCGTATCCTGGTTGGCTTTTCTCTATCATGAACAGCAAAAATACGAAGCAGCTTCGGTCTTATATCAAAGAGCAAGCAGCGGGTTCGACCATGTGCTTGGCTCAGAGCATCCTATCACTGTCTCGTGCGCTAGACTTTATTCGTGTCTAAAGCAGGAAATGCTGGAGGATGCGGGGAATGTGGGAAAGTAATGCTGTAAAATTGGAAAGATACGGCTAAAATGAAAGGCGACCTCTTTCTACTAAATGCTATACAGGGCACGCGAAATGTTAAAATGAGACTTTTATCAGTCGATGCAAAGCATTGATGGATCTACAGCGAAGTTGACTTGGATAAGTTGTAGCCTAGATTTTATCTGTTAGCGTACAATATCAGACTATGAAGTAGGTGACAGCTCTGCATCAATTCAGGTGTCGCATTCTTAAAAAAAGCCCTCCTACGCTTGAATCCTAATATTGAAGCCTCAACAACATGAACGAAAATTCTTATAGATCACTCTGGCTGTACCGGGCCTAGATCTCAAGGTAGGCACGATGGCAGCCAAGTCCACGATAGGTTACCAGGTAAATGGTACGAGCAGACGTCCTGGATGGAATTTGAGAGTCGTGGATAGATGAGAAGGAATTTTGATCTAAGAGTGGAAAAGAGTTGAAGAATTTCTAGTAATGTATTGATGTGACAGGAAAATTTGGATTCGAATCTCAAAGTAGACGGCTCAGAAGAGGTTGAAACACTTTGTCGTATGGATTGGGATGCAGCATGAGGAAGTCTAGCCCTTCTTATGCTCTGAATTCAACCTGTTGTTCATAGTATTTCTAGTCCAACATACCTAGAAATCTGCTCTGCCTCTTTTGCTAGCCGCCATCAAATCTAAGTCAGAGGATTTCTCCTGTTTATAGCTACTTGTTTAGTTAAAAAAAAAATTAAAAAAGTGTAACTTTTGTGGCTTTGTAACCAACAAAGAATAGTTATGTTTTCCTTGATTTGATGGGCGGTAACTTTCTTAAGAATTGACTTCGTAATTCTCACTCTGACGCGATCTTTGACTAGGGGGACTAAGGTCAGGGAGATTGGTCGTCAAACGCCTTCTCCTCAACGAAATATGTGGCTATCCTATTGAGGATATTGTATTTTGGAGATCCCTATAATTTAAAGCAAAGGCGGACCTTTCATGGCACATGAGCCGATTTCTTTACTCTCCCCATCTAGCGTAATTTCTAGCGTAATTACACTTCGTCATTCATCGCCGTGCTGCTTTGTGTTGCAAGTGGCAAAAGTTCAACCTTCTACCAAGTACAGCAGAAGAATATATATAGGCAGATGAATATGCACGCATGACACTTTTTTAATAGGGATCGACTTAGGACCTAGGCGGGATTAAGGTATTTTACAGGCTCTTAAAATGCCTAGTCTTCAACCTTACAAAAGGGGGCATATTTCTGTATAATCCGCCTGGTTAGGGGCCTCTGGAATACACGTACGTAGTAGGGTTAGGTTATAAAGCGGATGATACAAGCATCTCTAGAGTTCCTTAGATCAAGCCCTAAATATTAATAATAGAGCTTACATTAAAGTCTTCTCAGGGTTAAAGTCCCAAGCATTACCTGCGGTTGCTCGACCTGTCCACTCCCAAACCCTGGCTTATATTCAGACTCTAATTAAACCTGGGAGCTGCGCTCAGCATCGCATTTTCCGCTTAGCTGTCTGTGTGCCGATTGGATACACAGTGCAGAAGAGATGACTCTGTTTAAACTGCGAGGGTCTGCCATTAGTGGGATGCTATAGTCAGGCGATATAATAAGGAGTGGCTACAATATCTACGCGGTGAGGGAGAAGGTTCACACCAAAGCAACTATCAGCGCTATTTATCTAACTAACTTCTTTCAAGAATCTGCACCTGCATAGCCAAGAGGCTAAACAAGGAATTAATTATCTGTATACAGAGTAAATAGAAAATTCTAGACAGCTACAGAGAGATAAATCGGAATAGTTTAGATGTGAGCGTACCTGTATTATTCATCTTTCACAGCGCAGCCAAACTGGTGTTATAGTGGAAGGGGCTAGCTGGATGCCCAATACAGTGAATATATTGAGTGGGTTAAGTTGTTGAAACTATTTTGTTTGTGAACTAATGAGAGATAGAGAAAGACTTCTTGACCAGGGTTGAACCGCACACCATTACACGACAGCGTGTGTACTCAAGAACCATCGCTTGATGGCGTTGAGCCGCCATCAATCTTTTCTAGGATAACTAACACTGCCTTGTCGCCATGACCCTTTACATAGTCTATCAGCTCTTCTGCGACCACCTTTACCAAACTTTCGGCTCTTAGTCTTTCGACCTCGGCCTTGAACCCTCCTGACACCCAGATCTCGTCCAGGATCGTTGCAGCCACGATGCCATTTGTCCTGGTGACTCGCACAAATTCTCTCAGAGCAGGGTCAGGACCAACATGGCCAAGAGTGAACGTGCCAACGCATGTTACAATGTCATACGTTTCGTCTGGCTTTCCGATGCGGCGAGTCAAATCCGCCTGCCCGAGATTGCGATAGACGCCCGTCTGCTTTGCCACTGCAAGCATGGGGGAAGAAAGGTCAAGTCCATCGATGACCTTTGCACCAGCCAGAGAAAGAGCTTGGCCCACAAGCCCAGTTCCGCAACCAGCGTCCAGTATCGCAACAGCGCCTTTAGTGGAGTTGTTGCAGGATTTGAGAGCGTATTGGGCGACAAGGATAGGAGCGACGTATTCTTGGGCCTCGTCGCCAACCTCGGCGTTGTAAGTAGCGGCCCATTTGTCGTATATGGTCATGCAATCATGAACATTGAGAGCGGCCCGCGCTTTAGCAAGATACATATCGCTAGTTGGGATTTGAGTCCTCATATTGAAGAAATCAATTGCTGAAGAGGAGAATTTGTAAATTGTGATAATTGATTGATGGCCCTCATAAAGATATATTGTTCTGTGCTTTGAGTATAGTCCAGGGTTCATTTTGCTCCTCGCACCAGACTGAGCTCTTATAACATTTGGTCAATGGTATCCTAATACACCCCATCTATGGTGTCATGCTGCAGCAATTTGTTCATTGAATGTCGCAGCCTATGATTTGGCGTAGAGCTATCAGAACATCTGCACTACCTTCGGGGATATACATACCTGGACGCAAAGGGCAGTCGGATTACGTCCGGAAGGAATGATGCATACATACAAATACAACTCATATCCAAGATATTCACCAAGAAATGTAACAGGATTGGTCCAATGCGGGTGGCGTTGAAATACAAAGGTGATCTTTCCCCGGCCCAGTCCGGATGATGCGATTCGAGGTTGCTCATTATGTGCTCCCGTGCAGGGGAAAAACTTGCCCGACAACAATCTGTTATAAGAAAAGGGCATGGGCGCCACGGCATATCCGACGGGAGCAATCCTTCGGGGAGGGGGGGACCGTAGGTTCGCGCACTATGACGTCAGTAATCCAACATCGATGCATAACTTAGCCGATCTATATGAAAATCCATGTGGTGCTTACGGTTACACTGAGTGGATTGTATTAGAAATTTAGAGCTATCGACGCTATCGGTATAGAAGAGGTTGATCCGCATGCGCTCCATGGTTGAAACCGTTCGCTTCAACTTGCTGCTGGTGGAAACACTGACCCTGAGAACACCAGCCGGTAGTGATGATGTTAAAGCAAAGATGTTCACCAAAAATGCCGCGTCGAGATATCTCAAAGTCTACTCGTGTTATAGAATCACACTAATACGAATTCGTGGACCTTATAGGCCCTCTATAACGTATAGTCGAATTAGTCGGAGGGAAGGATCTGAACGGGATAAATTGAATTAATAGGTCAAGAGAATTAATTATAGTGTAAGTAAGCTATTTATATATGTTGGAGGAGGTTGATGAACTAGTGTCACTGGGTACCAGCTCCTATTGCCGAACGTGTGATTGAGCTTTGGCCAGTTCGACAGACTTTCTACCACTTTGTCCTCCAATCCCAACCCTTCACTTTGATCCTGACCCATACAAAACATAAGAAGGAAAGCACATAGCTGAGTCCGGTGAACAGAGCCGCGCCCCAATATCTCTCTTTACCTCTAGTCTCCACTGCATCGAGAAGGCTCCCAGCAATAGGGATGCTAATCAATACGCCAAAAGCCACTACCGTGAAGCAGCTTGCGTAATATCGCCCATATTCTTGAGTTTCACAAAGCTGGCCTAAGCAGATTGGCGTCAAGCTAACATTCGATCCGCTGACGAATCCGAATAGTAGTACAAAAACTACCAGAAGTGCGTAGTTGTCCAGGTTTGGTACGAGGATGTCTGGTAGCCAGAAACATAGGACTGACACAGTGCAGAGAAACAATGAGACAATCATGGTGTTGTATCGGCCGAATCGATCAGCCACGTCACCCGCCACGTACCGGCCAACGCATGAAGCAGAATTGAGAATCGCGAGGAGTTGATATGCGAACGCCGCTGACCCGTTCAATGTTGCCTCATGAGACAGACGCTGTCGATCGATGTAGTAGCTAGGCACGTACGTAATTGGTATGAAGTACGCCAGGTCCGTCAAAAGGACTCCGGTGGTTGTGGCTGCCATGGCTCCGGTTCCATCCATGAAGATTTTTGGGTCCGGCAAAGTATCTCGCCAAGTCGTTGCTGCTCCTTTGCGCGGTGGAACTCTGCTTCGGCAGAATGTCACGCTGATAGCGCAAAGCACGAGCAGCACAAATCCAAGAATCCGAATCGACCATCCCCATCCTACTTGGGGGAGGAGTGCCTGTATCATCAGGGGAAAGAGGACGCCGCCGAAACCGCCTCCTATGAATGCTATGCCACTAGCGAGACCGCGACGCTCCATGAACCAATGAGCGACGCAGCCCATGGATGGAGTGAGGAGAAGGGATGAACCGATACCCGTTAAGATGGAGAAGGACAGAAAGATCTGATAGTATTCTATAATACTATTAGTAAGGAGCACATCTTTAAAGAAGATCAGGCTAGCATCAATCTCAGCAGATTGCTACGGAAACGGGTGACGCATGGAGAATCGATGAAAACGGAGCTTACTGGTGCAGACGCTGAGCGAGAAAATGCCAATGAGCGTGCAAATTGTTCCCGCAATTATTAGTCCACGTGGGCCCATCGCATCGAAGGTTGGTCCAACCTGCACCCCAAAAACCCAGTTCACGAAGGCGTAGATTGAGAATATCCAGCCAAGGGCGGACGGAGATTCTTCCGGTAGGATCACTTTTGAGATGACGACCTCGAACACTCCGGCTGTGTTGTAGATACCCAGCGATGCGGTCAAGCCACACCAAGCACCCAGCACCACTAACCAGGCATCACGGCCGCCCTCTGGATAAGTGATCTCAGTGTCACGGGGTTCCAAGTCACCCGCCGCGGGAAGAGATAGCGAAGGTTTTTCGGCATGGGGAGAATATCCTCTTTCATCAGCCAGGACCTCTTTCTTGTCATCAGAGATGTGAGAAGCTTCGATCCGTGACGAACTGTGCTGGAAGCTTGGTACCATTGCCTCTAACGGTTTCGCCTCGAAAGTCTTGCAGTGTTTGTCAAAGCCTCGCTTTCTTTCCTCAGTTGACGGGCGCCTTTTTTTTTTTTTGAAAGGGGAAGTGACAGATTTTAAGTCTGCTTGTGGTTGCTGGAGTGTCACCTCACAATTGGAGGAGGGGGTTGGATGAAACAGTGGCTTTCGAATGTCTGTCTCCGTGGAAAGAAGTTGAGATTTTGCAGGGCTACAGAAAAGAGGGAAATGTGTAGTAGTTATAGGGATCTGTTTGGTGAGTGGCCTTCGAACGCTTGTGTTAGTGTTTGTCTACGGTCTACCGACACTTTCATATGTAAAAATGACGTATACGTCATAACCCTCCCCCAACATTCGATGCCAATACTAAACTTCTTATCTTCTCTCCCTCCTTCTCCTTCAGATATTCTCCCCTTTTTCGAAGGAGCCTCGACAAGGATTTAATGTTTGCTTAGGCAGTACGATTTAACATTAGTTCGCAGAGGCAAAGGTGAATGCAGACACGGACGCAGTGGTAGACGTAGATAGATAGAGATAGATCAATTCATGATACTTCTAAATTTGAGTCGATTCCCTGTTTTGACTGGAGCGTATTCAAAGTGGCCAGTCACCGCAAAGCAACGGAAGTTGAATCCAAAGTACCCAATCAGCGGCAAGCAAAGGAGCCGTGAACTCATAGTGGCCAATCAGTGACAGGCGAAGGAACTGTGGACTCAAAGTGTCCAATCAGCAACAAGCGAGGGACTGTGAACTCTTAGTGGCCAATCAAGAACAGATCTGTGAAACTCAAAATAATTAATTAGTGCTAAGCACTGCCTTCCGCTGTCATCGGCACGGCTCGGGGCGATCGCAGGCGTTGAGCAGACATGCATTGTGAGACTAGACGAGATTGGTCAATATGAGGGTACTCATAATCAGATCTAAGGTCGAGCAATTAAGTCGTACAGCGTACTCAAAGTGGCCAATCGCCACAAAGTAACGGACGTAGGACCTGTGTATTCAAAGTACCCAATTAACGGCCAGCAATGGAAGTGTAAACTCATAGTGATCAACGAACGACAAGCATTCCGCTCCGCTGTTCACGAATCGTCTTTGCTCGGGGCTTGCGCGGCTCGGGGCACCTTCAGTAAGCGTTGAACAGACATGCATGAGTGAGACGACACGAGATTGGTCAATATGAAGGTACTGGGGGCGGGCTGCATTTGCCCGCACTCAACACCGCCACGGTCCCATCGTCTTTACTCCCGATATAGAAAGAGTTCTAGTACGAGATCTGCAAACGGCATCCGGATCTGGTGCTAACCAAACGCGGAAGTCCTTGAGGTGAGTTTCGTATTTGCCATTTTGTGGTTATCGAATTCTCTTAATGCTGGCTTGAATGTTGTGCTCGGTACCTTGACCTTAGCAAAGGTCACCTGCAAGACGCGACGTAATTTACGGCGAGCTGACTTTCCTCCTTTGGAGCAACAGATGGATGATCACTCTCCATTCCTTACCATCCTCCTTCTATGCGAACACCATCTCTGACGCCGTTGACGTCGAGCGGAACCACTCCATCGTCGATTCATCGTTGTGATCTCAGATTTCTGTTATGGAACAACTTCCTCACTGCGTGATGAGGTTTATGGCCCACATCAACGACGCAATCAGCATGCATCTTAGCTGGCAGAGAACCACTATAAAGTCTGCAAGAATGCTCGGATTTGCAAGAACATCACCACTACTCTAGACACATCAATTATCGACAACTCCAAAGAACAGCGAGTGCACGCTCTGTTTTCTACATTCGAATTCAAAGCTTATCATCTCTTCCCAACACTTCAACATGGCCGCGCCAGCCTTATTAGACTACAGTCATTTCACCTCTGGTACTAAAGAACAGCGCGAGAAGTTCGCCCACGCGCTCTTGGACAGCTTCGAGAAGACCGGATTTGCGAAGCTTAAGGGCCATGCTTTCAGTGCCCAGGATCTGAAAGAATTATTCGCCTGGGTAGGACCCTACCTTGATATATCTGGCAGTTGCCGCGACCCTAACTTTATCTGCTAGGGCAAGAAGTTCTTTGACCAGCCATTGGAGGTGAAGAATGAGATTCCGAATGAAACAGGGCCTAGGCCTATGCGTGGTTACACGCCATGGAGAGTTGAGGAAGTCGGAAAGCTTCACCACGATGAACAGGTCAGGACCATGAAGGACTCAAAGGTTCGTACAGATAAATCCTCTTGAAAGTGCTCGACATCCTGACTGATCATGATACTCAGGAGCATTTTGATCAAGGCCCCGAACACGACACAGAATTCCCGAACAAATGGCCCAATGCCCCGGAATTATCGGGCTTCCAACCATTTATGAAGGCCTTCTACCGTCGATGCGATGATGTTTGTCTAACGCTAATGAAGGCCCTGGAAGGCGCCTGGGGCATCGAGGATGGATCATTGGTGGCACGCTGCGTTCCTAGTGCAACAGATCTCCGACTAACCCATTATCCTGCAATTCCCGTGGAAGAGATGCAGTCGGGCTCTACAAGCCGTATTGCGCCACATACTGATTTTGGACCCATCACGTTGCTGTTCCAAGACAGCACTGGCGGCCTAGAAATCGAAGACCGGTCCAATCCCATCCCTAATTCTTTCGTTCCCCTGCCACCGACTGATACGACGGAAATGATTGTCAATGTTGGTGATACACTGACGCGCTGGACGAACGGAAATATTACCGGCGGTACCCATCAAGTCATGTGTCCAGCGGCAATGAAGGGGGAAAGTGGCTTGATCCTGCCACCCAGAATGTCTATGGCCTATCTCTTCAAGGCGGAGCGCAATGTCTCAGTTGGTCCGTTGCCCAAATTTGTCTCGTCCACGGAGCCAGCGAAGTATCCTGACATCACGGCTCTGGAATTCCAGAGATGGAAGAACAGTATTGTGTACAATCTTACCAAGAAGGTATACCCGAACGGTACCGATGGCTTCAATAGACGCGATTCTGTTCAAGATGTGATGGAAACTGAATTGGCCATGACGCTCGGTGGCGTTAACGACTTCGTCGATGCTGGCAAAGCAATTCAACCAGTTCAGCCAGTTTAAAAATGAGCGCAAGTCGGCTACCTACCCGCGGTTAACAACGATTACTCCAAACGAGAAATTTAGGGTGGCATAGCTGCCTACGTAGAGGTACATTCTGAAATGGAGGCGCTAGCTGGGTTACGACCTTCCTTTGTATCTAAGTCCATCTGGCTTTAACTTTATAACTAGGCATCTTTTTTTTTTTAATCTACGCCGGATTTCGGCACATAGTGCCTGGCGGTTACTGAAAATTAAAATTTCCTAATACTCTCATGACTTCGCGAGAATGTAACCAGTTGAGGCCGCTTTAGCTTCTTTGATATAGCTGAAAGTAGTCAACTTTCTCAATTATAGTGCGACAGCTAAATTATGGCTATCATCGATCTACCCTCTTCAAGGATGTCGTGGTGTGCAGAGCTCAAGAAACGAATATGACTGCCCAAGAGGCTCTGCATCAATACAACACCCTTCCACTCCATAAACACCAGCTTTACAGCCTTATACTTGAGAACCTAAGGGTTGGGGTGATGGAGCACTCTTTTATAGTCCGAACAAGGCGCAGCAAACACGTAATCGCCAAGCTCAGAAGGATGCAGACGCAGACGCCGTACGACTTTCAAAAGAAAAGGAGAGGTTATGTAAGTAGGAAGAGAAGGACAAGAAGCCTCAAAGTTTAGAACAAAGAAGGTGTATGAGGCCTACAGCAATCGAAATACGACTTCAAGATTTGACTAAGAAGTGACGTGGGAGAGATGAGGCTAGATAAGCGAAATAGCAGCTTCAAAATAGCTCCAAATTGCACTAGGAGGCAAACACGAGGTTATGGAGCTTATCTTTGTTGATAAGGAGGATAAGGGGAATCAAGATGAGGAGATTGTTGATGCACTTGAAGAAGTAGAAGTTGCTTATCCAGCAGTCGATCGACAAGGGAAGAAGGTCAACCTCCCAGAGCAATATCGCACGCCGATTTTGTAGCTGACCTGAATCTCCGTAGTCGGTAGTCTGCGCCTGAATTTCATCTGCGTAGAGCTCTTGTGTAGCGTTGTCGAGCCTCATGTTTTTATGGCTCAAATCGGGATAACTGTCTGCTAGGCTAGCCGTGTGTCAGGCAGCCAAAACTAGTAGCCTTAGTGTCATTGATTTTGCCGCTAGGTGAGTTCAAGATACCATCGGCGTTGAGATATCGAGCTAAAAGTTTATATAGAAAAATATCGGGCTTTGTTTAAAAGGTTAGTTGCATGGTGTTTTGAAGTTGTGCGCCAAGGTGCGCGGCGAGCCACGGCATAAACTCGCACGGCTCAAAGTGGTCGCACAGTGCTGAGGGCGCTGACGTCACTGTGCTTCCTTCCATCTACCAAATTATTACTTTGTACACAGTTATATGTCTTCCAGTTAAACCACCTAAGCTCATCTCAAAATGCAATCACAAACTCCGACGTTCTCGATTCGTCCTTACCCGTTTCAAAGCTCCCACTCCCGTTGGCTCGCCGTCACGCACCGTGACCCCTCTTCCCATTCCTCTTTTTTCTACGGCGTCAAATCCACCAAGATCTACTGCCGCCCGACCTGCTCTGCACGCCTTGCGCGAAGAGCCAATGTCGTGTTTTACGACTCAGAAGACCAAGCGCGACGCGACGGCTTCCGGCCGTGTAAGAGGTGCAAGCCGGATGATACAACCTTCGTTGGAGAGGGGGAAGAGGTTGTTTCAAGGGTGATAGGGCTTTTGCGGGTTAGGAAGGATGGTTTACCGCTGAAGGGGGGCTTGAGCCACCTAGCAAAAGAGGCGGGAATTACGCGGAGTTATCTTTGCCGCGTGTTTAAAAAGAAAATGGGGATGACGATAGGGGCGTACATGAAGGAGTTTGAAATGGAGGCAAGCGAGGGAGAGACAGAGAGCTCGATCCAGTCTCCATGTACAGATGGATCGGGTGTGGTGGGCGTGGAGACGGGACTCCTGACGCCAGCGACAACGGCAAGGAGCCCTTCAACGTCGGTGGAAGGTCGGGAGGATAGGCCGGTGGAGAAGGATGCGGGGGATATCGGAGAGGCTCTGGACTTGGACTTCGATTTCGATGAATGGCTATGGACTGATCTGCTTGAATGATAGCATCTGCGAATGAACCATCTAGGGCTGTTTGATCTTGCCAATGACAGCTTCAAAAAGCCGAGCGAAGTCATTCCGGCGCAGTCGATCACGGACCCGCAGCGTTCGCTGCCTTACTTTGAGTCTGGGAGTCAAGTATATGGACATCAAACGGCTTCGTTAGCCAGATTTCAGCTCGTCGTAACCTAATTACTCAGCTTATGTAGTATTCCTCTTCCCTCGACTTTAGCAATGTCCATATTGCGCAAAAACGCACAGCAAGTATAAGAACGGGTCTAGGATATCGAAGTGTGGGTAGACGAGAAATTAGGGTATAAGTAGGAGACTCAGGGGCTTTATATTACTCCTTTCCGGCGGACACGACAGTTATATGCGTTGTTGGTGGCTTATGGATAAGTGTATATGGAGCGGTTAGGTATCTCCCTAAGCTCGAAACACATCGAAGTTCCCATAAAGCTGAAAGCGTGAAGACTAAGAATGGCGTGTAGGTCCACTTTCCTTCGTACTGACGCTGAAGGATGTGTGCGGAGAGTGACAGGCATAGTGTGCGGTGCAAGGACAAGAGGAAGGAAAATAAAGGGACACGGAGACCTTTTGCGGTTCATGTTCGGCACGCTACTTACTTAAAGATTGAGTAAGAGGCATGGGCTAAGTCGGGAATAAATAGATCCCAGGCCCCCAGATCTGTTGGCTAACAGGCCTCCATTTTCAGACGCAGGAGTTGCAACATAAGGGCCCCTTCAAGCCAACACAATACTGCCATGGAGAAAAGGAAGTCAAGAAATATTGGAGGGTTTTCGAGCCCATTCATGGGTGCGGAATATCCCTCCACGTCCTGAGGTCGTTTCTTTAAGAGGCGGGCCATTTCAAAGTTCCAATGACAGTATGCAGAACGTGTTGGTCATCTCCTCTAGTCTCTCGCCCTATCTGTGAAGATTGGACGCGTTCGAAACGACGGAATGAATTCGTCGAGCCAAATGCTAGATTTGGAGGACTTCCGGTATTCACCGGTATTTCTTGGCAAAATGATCTGGTCGCAATGCTACACAGATGGTCCTGCGCCGAAATTCAGGTATACTGTAACCTGCACACTCCCTGGGTCTTTAAATGTGACCACTTTGCAAGAGTATCAAAGTTCAATCCTGCAGCATACGCAGCCTAACACTACGATCTTCCGCTTCATCCAAATCTAGGAACACTATAGTTGAAAGCAGTACAGGGTCTAAAGACTAAACCATTGTTAAATACAAAATGCAACTGTTGCAAAGCTTTCTATTGGGATATTAGACTTCCAAACCCCGCAGCGCTACGCCTCTGGAGGAATAGTGCCATCAATCGCCGAGGCTAAACTCCGCTCGTAGGAGCTTACTCGAAAAACACTCTTCTACAATTTCATCTTCACATCTTCAACATGCGGAAGAATCCATATCGAAATCGGGCATTCCAATACCCAAAGTATAGGCAAAAGGATAAACGAAAAGAAGATGTCTGGTATTACGAAAGCGAAAACAAGGCACGATCTAGATGATACTGTGCTAGGGAAGTATCTGGTCTACTATCTGCCTAATCTGAAGCTTCCAATATTGTCGACGAAAATAGGATATGGCCAGAGTAATCCGACTTACTTTGTTGATGATGCGGACAACACGAGATATATACTTAGGAAGAAACCAACGGGGTCCATTATCTCGCCGGTGGCTCACCAGGTTGATCGTGAGTATAGGGTTATTAGGGCTTTGGGATCCGTGGAAGGATTTCCTGTACCGAAGGTGTATTGTCTGTGTATGGATGACTCTGTTATTGGAACTCCCTTTTATGTAAGCTGATTCCATCATTCCATCAGTCACGTGATCACGACTCGTACACTAACCCTTAAGCTCCAAACCACTCTCCATTATAAACCCTTACTAACCGAGAATGAGGTCATGGAATTCGTAAAAGGCCGCATAATAACCGATCCGGACCTAAAGGACCTATCTCCTTCTGACCGCCGCTCCGCGTGGTTCTCCCTCGTCTCTACTCTCGCCTGGCTCCACTCCATCGACCCTGATTCCATCGGACTCCAAGGTTTTGGCAAGAAAACCGGCTTTTACACCCGCCACTGCAACACCTTCTCCCGCATTGAAACCCAACAATCCCAAGTGAAAGACATCTCAACCGGGAAACCTCTCGGTCGCGCCCACCCAGACTTCGACGAAATCGTCAACTTCATTAGACGTAATGTTCCGGGTGATAGAGCGAGTATCATACACGGCGACTACAAGTTCGATAATATAATTCTGCATCCCACGGAACCACGAGTTATCGCACTGTTGGATTGGGAGCTTTCGACGATCGGACACCCGCTTATGGATGTCGTGTATGTCGTTGGTCCATACTGGAATCGCGCGTCAAAGGCTGGGATTTCCGGGGGCCCAGCAAGAGATGATATGGGTGGGGAAGTATATGATACGCAGAATTTGGTGGCGAGTGGGATGCCGACCATGGATGAGTTGTTGGATCGGTATACCGAGATTGCGGGATGGGATCCGAGACATGATCGCTGGGAGATCGCAAAGATTTTTCATTTGATGAGGGTATGTGTATGATTTTTACAAGGGAGGATTGTCGGTGGGGAGTGGATTGCTGACATATTGAAAGGGTGGCACGATTAGCCATGGCATCCAAGCGAGGACGATAAGTGGACAGGCGAGTAGCGAGTTCTCGCATGTCTATTTTGAGAATACAAAGAGGAGCCTTGGAGCCGCGCTCAACATGGTGAGGGAGTTGAAGGAGAAAGAACCGAGGAAGAGTAGCTTGTGAACAGGGGTAGGCAGTGAAAGGAGCCAGCGCTTGCGGGTTTGGTCACAAGGATGGTAGATGGCCTTCTAGTGAGATACTGCTGCTCGAAGTATCACGAATCCATTATGCAGCGCCAAGGATCCACTGACCATCCCCAAACCGCATTATGCTGGAAATTGGATGTTACTTCAGGCTGGTCTTGGTCAGGCTGGGTTTAGGCCTTGACTCATCTTCTTCTACACATCAGCACCAAGGTATATCCTATTATGATGTAAGCAAAAACGGGAGCATTTGGAGATATTTGTTTCGATTAATAGATCTGCATTACTCCAACCGCCCGCATTGTGTTACTGTCGAGTCTCAAGCTCTTCCATTCTTAATCCCCTATCCCTAGAACACTAGCCACAAACACTTAATTGACTTATGAATATAATCTCTTATTCTAACCTATATCGCACACCTATGGTCTCTCCCACCCGCTATATCAACTTCCAAGGAAAAGGGCTAGAATTGCCCAGCAAGAACCACTAAATGTAAGTCACTAGGGTGGGAATTCGAGACATTGGATAGCTGAAGGGGTAGTATTGCGATGGCTCTTATTACGGAAGAGAACATTGACCTAGACGGCTTGTTATTGTAGGTAATAGCCCGATTGTTTTTGACAGGGGATTATTACGATGGAATATAGATAGAGTGATTAGGTAGTTTGGGTTTGGGTTTGGGGTTTGCTGTTGTTTCTGCTGTTGGCTGGCGTGGGGATGACGGGCAGGAAGGTCCTGAGCTGCTTTGCGGTTTTACCGAGATAGGCTCTATATGATAGAGGCTTAATTAGATACAAGAAATATGACCATATTTGCGTAATTAGAGGTTCTAGAATGTGAGGTATGAAGGTGAGGCTAAGCAAGACCTCTAATTCCCCGCTTCCGATGCCTAAACAATACCAACGGGGCCTCTAGGATAGCTTGGCAGACGATCTACTGCAATATCAGCCTTTATAAACGATGTTTCCAAATAGTGTGGACTCTAATTAATTGTTCCCAACACTTCCTTAGGGAAACTCTCGATCCAGTAAAGCTGCATCTGAAACCGATATCGTTTGCCTTCCGTGAAACTCAAAGATCGCGTGTTCCTTAACCCTATTCCCCCGAGGTGCTATCTAATGTGAGCGTAGTACTCGTGCGTCGACGCCGGTGGCAAGCTCTAACCTAGAGAATGGGCCACGATTCACAGCCAAAACAAGGGGTTTCAGTTGCGAAAGTATGGAGAAGGCTGTGCCATTTGATATCGCGAACACAGCCCGAGATAATTCAGCGAGAGTAGGAGTGGCGTAGAAATTAGGGCGTTGTCTTCAGTTATCGCCACAATCGTCTCTCCGCGTCCTTCGTATATCTAATAGAGTTTAGAAGTGGATTTTGAGGGATAGATATGAACAGACTCACCTATAGAAACTCGCCATGTGCTTATTATGGAATATAAATCAGATATGGATACTCGGAGGTTGTTGGCAGAGCGCTAATCGTCACTGGAGGTACGGTGATGCGACGACGCGTCATATGGTATGCCTATCGTAATGCTAATAACTAAAATAGAAAGTGCTGGTCTGGGGAAGAAACCGATCTTCTTACTGGTTGCACACCACTCTTCCGCCATTTATTTCACCGGCCACAACTCCAAGAACGTAGCCACCAAGACCATCACCCATCCACTAATATCTCATTTCTCCAATGTGATCTCTCGTCCCTCGAACCCATCCAAACGACAAATCAAGCCGCTCTCTCTTCCAACCCACCACGTCTAGGTGTCCTGATCAACAACGCTGGCATCATGAGCGATCCACTATATCACAGAAAGACAGCTATCAGGTCTAATTTGTAATGAAATACCTCACGTACACTTCTAAGCCGATCTCTTCCTTTATCTCTTACTGAGACCGCGCCTCGAATCCCGATCCTGGCATCCGAAGCGATGACATAAGGTCAGCCCTGTAACGTCAACATCGCACCTCTGTGCACCACGCAATAAAACCTAGGTTATTCGTTCCAAGCGAAATGGAAGCGCTACGGACAGTGCAAACCTGCTCTCAGCTTTGATGATTCTCGGCTTCTTATTTAATATTCTAGTATCATTACCAGACCCGTCAACCCTAGAATCATATTAGGGGATTATTTGAGGAACTGCCGATGCCGAACCATTGGCTCATCAAGTTTGCAAAGATGGAGAAGAGGACTGAAGAACATCAAGGGGGCGTGAAATACGTGTTTGTCGGTGACTGTGATGGTGAAGGAGGATGAATTAGTGTCTGGGGAGGCCGATAGTCCGGAGGGGTGGCGTTGACGCTGGCTTCGCATTCGGAGGGTCGGGGGCTGGTGGAGGCCTTGTGGGAGTGAGTAGAGGAGGTGCTGAAGTGGTTTGATAAGGGTGGCTAATAGTATCGATCGGCATGCGTAGGGGACAGCTGATGAATCTTGCAGACGTTCGTGAGGTTCCTCCCTTAGAACAATCTCAGCTTGCCTAAGGCCTTTATGTTACCGCACCAGGTACGCCAATCACAATTCAACACGGCTTAAACATCGATACATGTACATCATTGAGACTGCCTGTGAACGCCAAGATGGGCGGATAATGTGGATTGAAATCGACCATAAACAATAGCGGATCGTCCCTTGTCTTGGGGTAGATGTTTTGGAGTCGTTCTGGGTGCTTCTAGTTTCTTCAGATACCACATTCTCATCACTGAGGGCATGTGAGAATACCTTGAGATAGTGGCTTGTGTAATGATGCGGTTTTTTTTTTTTTTTTTCATCCGACACGAACTTCCTAGAGGCGAGAGCGCCTCTTCCGGAACCGAACTTCTCGAAGCAAGTATGCAACACGGCAAGCTAAAGTCTCTGAAAGACATGGGTGGATGGCATAAGAACTTCGGGTTAGGGCAAGAGCTGGTGGTTGAAGACCGAACGATTCGACTTCGTTGACGAAAGCCCTCGACTCCACCAATGGTAAACTACCTTACCGACGCACATCAAGCCGGGTTTGTTGGCTGGGCTTCTTTGCGATGATAAAGGCGTGATTGAAGGTCGGCCAACATTGGCGAAATCAGGTTGGACTGCGGAATTCTTATTTTGATGCACTGGACACAGTTTTCTAGCGGTTCTCGCGGACGTTGGCCAATTGACGTAGTTATGATTACTACGATCAATAGGGGTGATTGTGGATATTTTCTATTGCCCAAGGGATCGGTGGCAAGCGTTCAGGGCAGATATAAGGATGATATAGGCGTAGTAGACTTAATAACATCAAGAAACTCTTAACTTTCTTAAGCAGCATTGGAGAATCATTCACATCAGTCAACTTCCTTGAAATGGCACCAACCGAGTACACAATCTACCGCGGGGCTGAGGGCATGATAAAGCAAGAAACTACTGAGCTCCCAGCCTTAGGCCCCAAAGAGATCCTGGTCAAGATTACCCACTCTGGCGTCTGTGGCACAGACGTCGCTTACATGCCATATGGCATCGCACTTGGCCACGAAGGAGTTGGAATAGTTGAGGCTATTGGTAGCGAAGTGACACAATTAAAAGTCGGAGATAGAGCTGGGGGCGGATTTCATCGAGATTCTTGCGGCCATTGCCACTACTGCCTATCAGGCCAAGACATTTGGTGCTACGAGCGCAGCGTCTTCGGCGAGAAGGACTATAATAACGGTACTTTTGGAGAGTACTACGTGGGTGTTGAGACCTATCCCCATAAAATCCCAGAGGGCCTTTCTAGCGAAGATGCGGCTCCATTACAGTGTGCTGGTGCGACGACGTACAGCGCCTTGGTCGACGTGCTCAAGCCTGGAGAGAGGGTCGGAATCGTCGGTATTGGCGGGCTGGGGCATCTCGCCATTCAGTTCGCCTCGAAACTTGGAGCCCAGGTCGTTGTATTCAGTACTAGCCGAAACAAAGAGGAGGAGGCCAAGCAACTCGGCGCCTCGGAGTTCTATCTGCTGGATGAGCTCGAAAAGGTCCAGAAACCAGTCCAAGTTCTTGTCATAGCTGGCAGCAGATACCCAGACTGGAGCAAGTGAGCTGTCTGTACCTTTATGGAGAAATGAAGCTAATAAATGGATGAAAGGTTCATGGTCAAGGACATCCTCGCCCGTGCCGGCACTATCGTCCCACTGTCGGCTCCGCATGGAGACTTGGTTCTTCCGTATTCCTCCCACTATAAATTTGCTAGTACGATTGCTGATTGGTCCATTCAGTTCTTTCCCAGTCTTGTTCGATGGTACAACCTTCACTTAAGCTTGGTCGCATCGCGGGGGAGACACGTTGAAATGCTAGAGTTTGCTGCCTCTAAATGCGTCAAGCCATGGGTTGAGAAGTTCGAACTCAGTGAGAGGGGAGTTAGGGAGGCTATCGGCAAGCTCAATAGCAACCAAATGCGCTATAGGGCAGTACTTGTCGCAAGGGACGCGTAGATGATTGCGTGAGGCTCGCCTTCGGGCCTGGGATAACAGTACTCGATATGCCCGGGAAAATTCTTCGAAGACCAATTGGGGATCGATAGTTCGAGAGATCAATGAAGTGGTAATGAATATGATGAAAGAAGAATCGGGGAACCTCCCTGTCCTTCCAAGGCTGAGTCATCCATCAAGCCGATTTCTCCTGTCTACATCGCACATTCGCTGCTCGATTGGCGTAAATTCCCCCTTCTATGTCTCCAAGGGAACATTGCTGGCAATTTTCTTCCTCCCAGCTGCAGCAACAAACCCAGCGTCCCTGGCTCGATCGGAAGCATGCGCTCTCACGTGGTGGCGGGACGCACGAACCCTCCATTCGGCTTTCGGCTAAGCGCATCGGAACCCTCACCTCATCAACCAGCAGCCATTCCATGTTTCCTCAACAACACTGTTATAATATTCTTATTCCCCAATGGTTTCAGGCGCAAATGTACTTCAACTGAACTTTTATTGTGGATTCTTCTTGCTGACGTCTTCTAGGATTCGAAAACGCCGCCAATAGTCTCGTTGACCGCCGGCGGTGTGGCAGGGGGCATCGAGGCTTTTACATCGGTATTCATCAGCTCCGGTCAGGGTTTCTGCGCCTGCTAATCTAGATTTCAGTATCCATTAGAGTTCGCTAAAACTCGTGTCCAGCTCCGTAGCCAAAAGGGCATCCCAACTCCAAAGAACCCCTTCCTCGTCGTCACTCGAGTCTATCAGAAAGAAGGAATCCGGTCACTGTACAAAGGATGCGCTGCTCTCGTTGTCGTACGTTTATCACCTTGTTTTTTTTGTAGCTGTTTCGTTGCTTCGGTTCAGTTCCAACATTGCTTCCTGACCTACCAATCGGAAGTGCTTATCCGAGAACACCCGATGCATCTCCAGATGCTGTTTCACCTGCGCACTCTGAACGAACCCATGTTGAGACAGAAGATAGGGCTCGATAGGTAAAGATGGCGTTCGTTTTCTCTTCTTTGACCAAATCAAGCATGCCTTCGCCGATCCGCAAACTGGCACACTCTCACCGCTCCGCAACCTCGCCGCTGGAATGACCGCTGGTGTGGTGGCTTCAATCACTTGCGTTACTCCGACTGAACGTATCAAGACCGCTCTCATCGATGACGCAAGAAACGAGAAGCGATTCCGATCTGGCCTTCATGCCACCAGTGTAATCTGGAAAGAGCATGGGATCTTGGGTCTCTACCGAGGTTTCGTGGGTACGACACTAAAGCAAGCCTCTGCGACAGCATTCCGGTTGGGGACCTACAACATCTTGAAAGACTTTGAAACGACTCGTAATATACCTCAAAATACAGCCACAAATTTTGCCAACGGGTCTGTCGCCGGTATAGTCACGACCCTCTGTACCCAGCCATTTGATGTCATCAAGACCAGATCACAGAGCGCCCATGGAATGAGCACAGCTGAAGCAGTCAAGAGCGTACTAGTTGATTATGGGATAAAGGGATTCTGGAAAGGCACGACGATGAGGTTGGGTCGGACGGTCTTCAGCGGCGGCATCCTCTTCACGTCCTATGAAGCAGCTGTTAAGATCATTAGCCCCTTGTACTCTGGCCTTACGCATATGGTAGTCGCAGAGACATTAGACTAGAGCTTCCTAATATCCTTTTATCTGTAATTGTAGGGTTCCACCTTCTCTACGCCTCGCCACAGTTGCTCAAGCACTCCCATCGTACTCGTCTATTACGCTAACTGGCTTCACAAACTTCCCCAGGGCCTTGTACTTTAAATGGTCGAGACCAAACCCTTTGGGACCGCCGATTTCGATTCCCCTCGGGCTCGTCCATCGTTCACTAGCGGTGATCCCTATCACAATAACCAGCAACCCGTATCGATACTCTGGTGTTCCGATTGCCTCTCCGTTCTGTGCATCGATGATGGAGATAAGATCTGGTACTATCGCTATGACATCTTCATTCCTCTCTTCATCTATGGCACCGCTGTCCTCGGAGCGGACACGAAGCACAGCAATGTTCTCGTTCTTGAAAGGGACCTTAACCCTACCTGTGAATCCTACCGTTCTAGAATTCAAGGCACCATTTATATCGGCGCCCTCGATGATAACTTCACCATAGACATGGCCCATTCGGAGTGTTCTCTCCACTCCCACGATTTTGCCCTTGAACAAGACTCGACCAGTTTCTTGACCTCCCACTTCGTTGATGATTGACTCAGCGACGGTATCGATGCGATTCTCTTTCCTGGCTTGAGCGACCGCCCGACCAATGCGCCAAGATAGCGATATCGTGTGCTCAACTGCCCAGCGCTTTGTTTCAGCACCAGTAACGGGTCCCTCGGCACACCCGACATGGGATCCAAGCTGCGCAAGACCTGCTCTAAGTACTCTCTCAACTGTCAAGTCGCTTCTAGCCTTAGGTATATAAACGACATTACCGTTTCCGTCTGCCATCGCAATAGGACAGAAGATGATACTACGCTCGTTGAATACAACTGGTGTAGTTTGCCACTTCGTCGGATATGCTCGACCCATCCAGTCACCGTCCACGGTTGGAAGGTTCATATTTGTACTGGCCCCTAGAATCAAACCTTGAAGGCCATTGCCGCCACCTATTTCGAGTGCTATCATTGCTGTTGCTCGACCACCTTTGAACAGCTTATAGAGTTCTTCTTGCGCTTCCATCATTCTGCAGTTGAGGTTAGCTTACCACTGTCCAAATGGTGATAGATACCTTACTCATCACCCTGAAGCTTCTCGATCCCAACCGTGGGAGATCCAGCACCGCCTCCGCAGCCGACAAGATCATCATCTTTGAGATCGCAGGGATTGATAACTCTGATCAGACCCCCTGCTCGCAATATTCCTCTCATTCGCAGCATGCTTGAGTACGGACTCCCACCGCCGCCCGTTCCGAGGATGTAGCACCCAATGGTTATCCAGTCGAGGTCGGTTTCGGAGACATACCATGTGCGGTCGAGGACCTTTGGCTTGTAGGCCACGATGTCGATGTCTTGGGGTGCATGGGACATGGCCTCACTCTGTAAGCTTTCTTGGTCAGAGGATGGATTCGTAAACCCATCCTGGGTTGCCTCAGCCCCCGCAGCATCGGAATCAAGATTTCTATCGATATGAAGGGCGACAAAATCGCTAGACCTTGCGAAATCAAAATCTCCAGCCGCTCGGACGATGAACCGAGTTGTGTTGGCGATATACTGTAAAGGGAGTGTCTCCATTTCCACCACTGCGACTGACTCTTGCGATGCCCCTGCCTCAATCGTCTTTTGCCGAGCGTCTTCCGAAATCAATGCTAGCAGTTCTTTTGGTGTCCTTTTCTCCGTGGACTTGACAGTATCAATCACAGCGCTTACTCTCGCCATTGCGGCCCCGATTGCGTTGGCGACTCCCGACCATTCCGGTTTGATGACACGACTTGCTCCTACCAGTTCGTCAGGAGCGATGACGGCGCCGCCCCCCACAAGGAGTACTGGAAGGTCCTCTGGAGAAGTCTTCATTGTGTCGATGACACGCTCTAGCATCCTTTTAACCTCCAGCTTAAACTCTTCGCATTCATTTTCCTCTAGCTTTCCTCGTACGAGGCTTGGCTCACCAATTTCAACATCTTTTGATCCCGCGACCGTATAATCAGTGGCTGTCTTCACGTCCCCACCGAAAACCAAGGCTTTCTCTGATAGCTTATATCCCACTGATTCAGGTCCTACGATAAGCTTTCCGTTGATTCTTTTTACGAGCGAACCTCCTCCTAACCCAATACTCTTAACATCTGGATAGCTGAAGTTCATCCTGACTCCGCTCAACTCACTGTACGCAGCTTGCTGTCTCGGAAATCCATTTGCCAGCAAAAGCCCCACATCCGTTGTTGTGCCTCCAACATCAACAACCATCATCGCTTGCCCCTTCTCCTGCTTTCCTACCAAGAACGCCGCCCCACGCATACTATTGGTCGGACCGGAACTAAACGTCCGAATTGGTAGTCTACTTGCCGCATCGCCACTCAAAATGGTCCCATCGTTCTGCGTGATGAAAACCGGACATTTCAAGCCCAGCTTCTTCATTGGCTCCTGGAAACTCTTAATCGTCTTCCGTGCAAAAGCAAGAATCGACGCATTCAGAATGGAAGCATTCTCCCTTTCCAAAAACCCCAGATTCGCAACCTCTTTACTTAACACAACATCCACGCCCGGAATCTCCGTTCTGATGATCTCCGCTGCCCGCTCTTCTTGTTTCTCTATTGTATCAATTGGCGAGAACACTCCATTCACAACCACGCTTCGAATCCGCTTCTCACGAATAATCTTACACTGCTCCTTAATTTCCTCCTCGTTAATATCCGAAATTAAGTTTCCATCAACTTCTAACCCCCCATTAACGAGGGCATAGTGCCCGAGAATAAATTTCCGCATATCCGGTGGCCAGTCGACGCATGGTGGGGCGTGCTTGCTAAAGGGACCGGAGAGGCGGAGGACGGCGACTTGGGAGAGTCGGGTACGGTCGCGGGTTACCACCGCGTTGACGAAGTGCGTTGTGCCTATTGTGACGCTGGCTACATGGTCGGGGTTGATATGGGCGGAATCGAACATGGTAGTGATGGCAGAGGCGATGCCATGACTTGGGTCAGTTGTTGTCGGAGCTTTGTGCCTGTTTCTCAGAGTGAGTACTTTACGCTTGATTTAGCTGGGATGGGGGAGGAAAGTATGGGTGTGGGATCGAAAGGCCAGTTCCAATGTGAATTGATGTGAATGGTATACTGCGTGGTTTCCTGCACACCAGCGAGTTTTGATGTCCTTAATTCAACTTAGAAACATGAAAAAAAAAATACCAAGCTATGATACCCCTGTCCGCTTCCGCTGAACGAGTTGGGTCAATAACAACTCCGTCTGTGTTTGTTCTGTCAGGTCTTCATTAATAGCCATCTTCTGTCCAATACGTGTTATGTTGCCTACCCGCCAACATCAACTCCGATGCGAAGGTTCTTATGTGCTGCTGAAACGGACTCCATCCTGAGCTGCATAGGAAGAATTATACGACCGGAGGAAAGAGTGAACAAGAGGCGATGTTGGGAGTCGGCTGATCAGATCAGATAAGATGATTCCTTCGGGGGTAATGCGGAATTCCGATGTCGGTGATTTATGGGGTGACGGCTATCAAGAGACCAACCCGTGAAAGCCCACAGTTTCGATTGTGAGTACGCTGTATTATGTGGAATAATTGAAAGATCGAGGGAACGAGAGAGGGAGACCTTGCTGGAAAATTGCTACAAACCGTCACTTGGATCAGATAAAATCGGTTCTCGGCAAGAATGCGGAGCTCCGAAGTCGGTGATGGACCCAAAACCAGGACCGAGCGACATTTATTAACAGCTTCACCCGGAGCAGCGAACACTTTCGGTGCGACGTTAAATGTCCGATAGGCGCGGGATTCCCGTTAAGGATGCGGGCTGTTGATCTCCTACCCCACTTCCACACCACCTTTGACCAACGTGTCACGAAGTACGATAACGAGGTAACATGGCAGCAGTAGCGGTACATGAAGAACATGGGTTCTTCTTGGCTATTTTGCGACCAAAAGCCACGCCGGGCCGTGGTTTTGGCTGTCCCAGATTACTTCTCATTTCATCCTGTCCGTATCCATCCGGTCAGCTATGGACATCAAACATCGGCTGGTCGTAATCGAGCAAAAGGTTCGTCTTCGAGGCGATGATGCGCAACACGAACAGACGGACTCTTGGAGTAATCGCGATTTAATACCCCTTCCCCCTACGCGCAGGACTTGGGGCTGGTTTCACTTCTTTGGATTCTGGGCTATTTCGAGTCTTAATATTGCCAATTGGCAGACGCCTAATACTTTCTTGAGTATGCCAAAAAATTCTTTTTATATTCCCGGAATTCTGGAGAGTCAAAGTTGACGCGAAGCAGCACGAGGCCTCTCAGTAGCCCAATCTATGATGATCATCGTCGTCGGCAGGCTACTCATATCAATGTTCTCAGCACTCATTGCTTGGTGTGGATTGAAATGGCACATCGGTTTTACGGTACAGAATCGCTATACCTGGGGGATGAGGGCAAGTTATATCCCGCTGCTGCAACGAATATTGCTCAACTTTATCTGGAACGCAGTTCAATGTAAAACACCGCCCATGCTAAGGGCGAGGTTATTTACTAATAACCCCTGCAGGTTGGAATGGGGGAAGGCTGGTTGCAGTATGTGTGGCTGCCATCTGGCCCTCATTTGCTAGAATTCGAAACACACTTCCTTCTAGCATGCCCACAACAACGTACGAGTTTGTCGGCTTCACTATCTTCTGGTTTCTCTCAACACCATTTCTGTGGCTCCGCCCCGAGCGATTCAAGTTGCCATTCCAAATAATCTCCGTTTACTGTGGCATCGGCATGCTTAGTTGGATGATCTGGGCATTAGCCACAGCGAAAGGGGTTGGCCCACTCTGGGACACTCCCGAAAACATCCCGACAAGCTCGCCTTGGAATTCTTCATGGCTGATTATGTCTGGTATCAACCAAATGCTAGGGGGCATAGCAGCCGGAATCACTAACGGATCCGACTTTTCTCGTTACGCCCGCGGGAAAAGACACTACATTGTTGGTACAATATTGAGCGCATGGATTACCGGAACTATAGTGTCCTTTATTGGTCTTGTTACTGCCTCAGCCTGTCAGAAGATTTACGGCGAGGTATACTGGAACCCCCCTGATCTCCTCATGGTTATGATGGATTCTGGGAAGGGCTCTTCTAAGGCTCGGGCCGGCGTTTTCTTCCTCTCCGCCGGGTTTGCCCTTACAGCTATGTTTGAGAATATCTGTGGCAATGCAGTGGCAGGTGGGATCGATCTCGCTGGTCTCTTCCCTCGCTACATCGATATTCGCCGCGGAGCTATCATTACGTTTGTTGCTGCATGGATTGTGCAGCCGTGGCAACTCATCAACCGAGCAATCACTTTCATCTCGGTACTATCGTCGTTTTCGGTCTTCCTCGCACCCATTATGGGCGTGATGGCTTGCGACTATTACATCCTTCGCAAACGTAAGATCAGGCTAAGCCACCTCTACCGGACTAAGGACTCGACCTACTACTTCTGGTACGGGGTCAATTGGCGGGTAATCCCGGCCTGGATGTGTGGTTGGGCTCCGACAATTGGTGGATTGGTGGTGACGGTTCGAGGGGATGCCAATCCACCACGAGCTTTGGTTCAGCTGTATTACATGGCTTTCTTCATCGGTATGTCTCTGAAAATTCAATTCCAAGTCTTTCCTCAGCAATATCACAGGGTTCTTCACGAGTGCGACAATATTTTTTGTATTGAACAAGCTCTTTCCTGTCCCCCACATGGATCAGTATGACGAAGTTGACATCTACGGGACATTCACGGAAGCGGAAGCTAGGAAGCTTGGTGTCATTAGACTTGGTAACTCTCGTGATGTGACTATTGATGGCACTGCAGATGGTCATGGGTCTGTGGAGAATGTTGTTGTCGATGACATAGGGATAGACAAATTGTAATGAGGCTGAGGCCGGGATAGCAAAGCATGTGCAACATCCACCTCACCACGCCTCGAAATTTGCGACCGTCGCAGCTCAACTATACTGTAAGCGAGATCGCAGGAATGGGTGTTAAGTTTTTCCATGGGTCCCTTTGGGCCGTCGTGCTCGAGCGAAGCCTACCACGAGTCCACTAAGTTTTAGCAGCATTGTTCTAAACAAGCCACCTCCAACACATTGCCTTGTTCAATTCCAAATCGTTATTATCTGTTGTTATAGGTCGAATACAAATTTTACCTTTCGTAAGGCTCGGATCATAATCTCGGCCGAACTGCAGGATCTCAAATACCTTGGGCTTGGCGTGCTGACAAGCGCAGAAAAAGTGGCTGAACAACACTGATTTCCTTCGTAAACCGAGCTAGTCCTTATCCGATAATCAAAGCTTGAAATTCAGGCCCTCGTTGAGGGCATCTCGGGGTTTATTGAGGCTATGGTCTCAAGACACCTCCAGCCGATGTAAATTCATCATGAGCGAAAATAGTGCCCCTGATCCATTTACAATATGACTTGTGATTTGAGAAGAGATTTGGAATTTGTAACTTGCTGAGTAGGTGTGTATCTACATATCTATTATTTAAGAGGCTGCGGTGGCTGTACATATTGTTCACTCGACATCATCCACGCTTGACTCCACGACTTCAAAATGAGTGCCCTTCAATTAATCTCTCTTTTCACTGCCCTCCCGCTTCTTAACCTTATCTCAGCGTCGCCGACAATCCATCACGATGAATATCGTCATCCATCAAACGGGATCTGTACCGACTACACCATAAAGAGCGAGGTGACATCCAACGACTTTGTTTGGGGCTTGGATCACTTTAATGATAACTACGACGTTGCTGCTTTCCTGTTTAACAACTCTCGGAAGGATACGTTCACCACATTTCAGCCCTTCTCAGGTACTAAGAATGTAACCAAGCAATTTGAGGTTGCTGCAACGTTTTGCACACCCGAAGAAATGAAAGGTGGGAAGGAGAAGACGGTTCTAGTGGCTACCCATGGGCTGGGTTATGATAGGCGGTAGGTTTCACACCAGATTGTCAGAAACAGACGCTAATATACAACAGTTATTGGGCACCCTCTTATAAGCCGGACGAGTATAGCTTCGTCCAGTACGCGCTCGCCAACGGATACTCTATCTTCTATTATGACCGCCTCGGCACGGGAAAGTCTCAAATGTTTGTTCATATCACTAATGATGTTGACATGGAGAAGTTAACCTATCACTAGACTATCCGGCTACACGAATCAAGCTTCGAACCAAATCGAGATTCTTTCGAAGATGGTGCAGGAAATCCGAAAAGGAATGTACACATCCACTGTGAAAGCTTCAAAGATAGTTTTAGTTGGTCACTCTTTCGGCTCTTTCATATCCGACGCCATGGTTGCTCAATATCCCGGTCTTGTTGAAGGTGTGTATCCCCATATCCCTCATACTTCTAATACGGCCTTATAACTTACTATTAAACCGCAGGTGTTGTCCTGACTGGAATCGGCTTTGCCGGCCTCACCGATGACGCTGGCCCTTCCTCTCGCTGGATCCCATCCGCGTTCGCCTCCCGCATCGCCTCAACCGTATCATCCGCCTACCGCTCCCTTGACTCTGGCTATCTCTCCTTTGGTGACGTCTACGCCCACATCGAGACCTTCTTTCACCAACCCAACTATGCCGTCGACGTCGTCGAATATGCACAAGCCATCAGCCAGCCCTTCGCCATTGCAGAATACCTCTCACTCGGGCGCATCAGCCTGGTGGCTGCCGAGTTCAAGGGACCAGTCTTTATCACATCTGGGCAATTCGATTTGATTGTTTGTGGAGGTGAGTGTAAGAGTACGTTCGCAAATGGCACTCAGAAGGAGAAGTTTCCGAAGGCGAGGGTGTTGGAAACCTATGCACACCCAGGAGCGGGTCACGGAGTTAATTTCGGGGCTAATGCGACCGGGTTCTTTGGGAAGACTGTAGAGTTTTTAGATAAGAACTTTTAAAGTAATGGGAGAGGAGGCGAGGTAGGCTGCTGGAAGGGGTGTGGAATTAGAGGATTGAGAAGGAGTTCAGGGCGAAGGAAGGCGATGCTGGGAGGCTGAAGACGTGGCCATTGCTTTCAGGCTGGCCCGTTTTATTGTATTCTGAACGTTGCTTCCATGCTTTCGCAGTTGCCGTGAAGCAGCTTATTTAATCGAATATTTTCTCGTCGATTCATCTGACCTAATTTTTGGGTTGTCATCACAATGATCTTGGACGTGGATGGCGCGGACCGTTCGGCTGTGTTGTTTGCGTACTGATTTATGCGATACTCCAACTTCGAGCTCTGTGTCTAAAGCCAATTTACGCGTCCCGAAAAATAGACAACCGAACAAACATTTACTCACTCTAGAAACCATTACCATCATTTCACTCTTCTCTCCCTAGGTTTCTTTTATTGGGTTTTGCAGTGTTGATTTGCAGTTCTATGGTGTTGGGTTGTGTTGACAGTGAGCCAGTCCAGGAGAGAGCGAATGCGACGTCCTGAAGGAGGGGGGGGGGGAGATGGAGAATAAGGCGAGGGGAATTGATGAAGTGGAGCAAGCACTTGAAAAAGGGGATTACTTCAGGAAATTTAGAGGAGGGTATTCTGAAAAGAAGTATGGAGGTGTTCTCAAGCCTTATCCAGCCTCCACCCCTTCATCTAAGGCATTTTGCGGACCTCTCGGACCACGACGGAACTCAACTCGAGGGAGCAAAACACCATTGCATAATTCACACTATAGCAAGTTCTCACCCAGACGCCCACTGCATTGCACTTGGTGTCCTTAAGGAGCTGTTAGGTTTAACTTTCATTTGTTGTTCTAGTAGCCTCATATAGGACCCGAAATCCTACTCCTATATGCGCTAAAGGGTGGTAGCCGCCCCCCAATCTCCCGCACCGTATTATACATCTGCCGGGTGCAGGGTCCACCTCCAAGCGGTGAAATTCTCAACGACCTTGTCCCCAGGTGCACCCCATCGTACAATCTGCTTCATGAGTTTTTCGCAGTTTACGCACAACGGCGCATAACGACTAATGTCCCTTTCCTCCTGTTCGTTATATTCGAGAACAAGCGTCTGAGGAATATTGACCGCAACTCCAAAAGCCTTTGGAAGGCTCTCTTCTGACCTTTATAATCTATTAGTCATTGCAGAAATAGCTTTACAGCGGAGTTCAAAGGAGACGGAGGTGAGGGACACCCACAAGGTACACAGCAAAGCGAAAGTCCATGTCTCAGCGCAATTTCCATAGTCCTGCGCTATTCGCTCCGCTTTAGTAGGATCCAAGATTTGTTTCTTAGACCCTTCCTGCCGCCCTCTAGCTCTCAAATCGACGAATCTTGACTTTCGAATTACCTCCTTTCCCTCGGGAATTTGAGGAACCCGAGGAATACAGCTCCCAAGCACGATGACATTACCAACACACGCCAATCCTATCTTTGCAGGCCGGCGATCTTGGTCTTGGGTATCGAGGAGCCGAAAACACCAATGCGAATACAAAGATGCTAGGCGCGCGAAGTAATTTCTCTTTGTCCGCTCTTTCTGCTCCGGAGAAAGGGCCGGGAGATGTGCCGCTTCGGACAGGCACGCTCCGAGGAGGTCGAAGATTGTGTGACAGTACACGTGTAGGCGCGGGGCTCCGGAAGGGGACCAGTGCACGCGTCCGATTGGGGTACTGGTTGAGACTTCGGCCGCTAATAGGTCGACCTTCGGGTAGTTTAGACCTGCTGGCTTCACGAAGTCTCTAAGGATTGCTGTCGATGCTGAGATGTCACTGTATTGCGGTTGAGAAACATGGCATATTGAGAGAACGACTAGGGAGTTGTGAGAACTCACTGTTGCTGTTGCATCATAGCGTAGAGTAAGCACGCTAGCTTCCTAGTCGAAGCTTGAGACTCCCCAGGAACAGCCATTAGGGGCCCAACGAAGTTGTCCATTATTTCGAGGCGGTTGAACGCGAAGCATTCGCTCCATGTCAGCTTTCCTAGGGCCTCAAATCTAAGGAAGGGACTTGTGACTGTTGGGATCCGGATAGGATCGGCCATTTTGTATGGTATCGAAGACAGGATACTGTTCTAGTGAAAGCGAGTTGCGATACGAAGACACGGGGGGAGTCTACCAGGAAGCAAGGACGGAGACACGCTATTTAATTCAAGCAAACGACAAGGCTGAGCCGCAGGTTAGAGCTGAACAGTGTCTCGGCCTTGACACTTGCGCACATGAAGTGTTGGCCAATATTCGTGCTTACAGTTGCTAATATGTATTGCTGTCGTTGAATCGAGTAGTCAGTAGCATTAATAGGATGGTTGTAGCTGAGGATGTTCGGGGTTTCCCTGGGGCATGATACGGAGTGGTGATTACGTGATTCATTTGTTAGGAAGCAAGTTCAGATTGCATGTATGGTGATGAGTTTGTGCCGAAGATGAGTCGGGACTCGTAGTTCTAGTTAATATTCGGGCTTCGATTCGGAGTCTTCAGTCTGGCCTTTGATCCCCCTCCCAGAGATCTTTCCAGCCCTGCCGACCAATTATTTGACCTCAAGCGTGCACAGGTGACAACATTATAAATTTTGTTAGGTCGAGTGGTCTAACTGTATTCTTTCTTTCAACTTGGAAACTTCAGAACAGGATATTGTGCGAACTCTCGACTACATCACCCTCATTTTCAGACCATCCTCAGTCTCAATCCTTCACAGTATGCCGAGTCGAACCCAGCGAATATATTCAGATTCGCTACAGCCCTTCCATAATCCCCGACTCCACCTACGACATATTCTGCTTGCTTGTAAATCATGGATTTATAATTTTCCATTCGTTATCACCCGACATACTAGCTGCAGACTTAACCATAGTTGGGCTTACCTCCTCCTGGTCCGTGCAGCGCCCTGCTATTCTTCTTAGCCCCTCTCTCCAAGAGCAACCTATATAAAAGACAGTAATAACAACCCCAGGACCAATATCTTACACGCCCCTCATTCACTCTATTAAATCTCGAACTCAAAATTCACGCCTGACGATCATACAGAAGCGAAGAGCAATGGCTGCTATCGCTGATAAATCCAAACCCTACCTCCCTCTAGCAAATCTTATAGGCGACGGCTGGTCCAAAGAAGGTGAAGCAATAGCCACGTGTTTTTGTGGCATCGTGCAATTGGCATCCATAAGTCTTGCAGATATGTCTCCACTCCGCTCTATTGCTTATACCATCTCTAACCCCTCAGCCAACCGAAGGTCAAGGCCTGATCAACACCTTCATCTGCAACTGTGTAGATTGCCAGAAAATCACGGCGTCTATGTTTGCATCAAACTTCACCGTCGACGACAAATACCTAAAACACCTACGCAGCCGCGACAATCTGAAGACATTCAGCCAATCGCATACCATCGCCTCAGGCAACAACATGACAAACTATTTCTGTTCTACATGTGGCACGCCTATGTACCGTGTTAGCACGGGGTACCCTAGGATGAGTATCCTACGCATCGGCACCATAGACGATTTAGTCCTACACGAGACTAAGCTGAGACCCCAAATCGAACAGTTTACCAACGACCGTGTGAACTGGTTGCCGGGTGTGGAGGGAACTAAGAAATTCGTAGGAATCCATACCTAATCGAGGAATGTAAAATGAAGGAGAGATTTACGACTACAGTGAATAACCAGTGCGTCTTACCTTGAGTCAAGCTACGTTTAAACAAACAGACAACTCTCCCCAGAGGTTCGTTGTGAAAAATGGAAGGACATGCATCTGGGATCAAGCTTTCGATGTGCTTCTTCCTGGGAGAAGAAACGCTCCCCGTTTCCTCAACATGCACCAGGCAGAGCAGCAAATGCACACAAATCCGCTGAATATGTGGCCAACGGTGCTGTATCTTCACGAACTTGAGGATCAGAAGGAAGTAATCGAGATCTTACACTACTACATGTGCTTTCTTTCTTGGCTTATATGCTATTCTAAGTAGAACACCCTCGCTATGCAAAAGGAACAAATCTGACATGCACTGGATGAGGACGGTCTACGTCTATGCTTAGAGAGATGGAAGCGAATGTGGTCGCCCATCAAAAAAAACTAAGGGGCAAACTAGTAAAGGAGAAGGGAGCGAAAAAGAAATTGTAAAAATATTTGATAAGTGCAGCGATCGATTTTCCTGGTACATGGGACGTGAAGGAGGCTGAGACCCTGCAGGTTCAGTCCTCCACATCCTCATCTCTTCCAGGGTACATGATGTCCGCAATCCAAACAGCTCTGAGGTTTTGGTACAGCACAAACGCCCACACTAATGTGATAGCGATTGTCAATCCATTACCGATGAAGAGAATCACTTCATCCTGTAAGCTGTTGCCGATGGAGATGGTCGCGATAACGAATCCGGTGTTCGGGAACACCATGGCCCACCATCCCAAGTGGAAATACTTTGGCGGAGAATTGAGAACCTAGCAGCTGTCAATTACTAAGTCTGGAGTCGTACTAGTAGGGACGACTTACAGCAACGAAAGCAATCATGAAAAACCACAGAGCCAATACCCAGAGGAACAACGCCGCTACGAGTGCAAGGGCGCGCAACATGGCCCCATCGAGCGATTTATCTCCATCGAAGTTAAAGTCTTCAGGGAGAGAGTTTGCCATTCCAATAAAGGCAAGACATGAAAATGAAGGTGGGCCAACCCCAATGAACATGGCGGGTCGATGCTCGCGATTTGGAAGACCAGCCTGCATAAGACGACCGATGTAATGAGCATACATGAAAATGGCGACGGTAAACCCAAGGCCTTGGCAACCCATTCCTGCGGCGAGTATGGACATTCTAGATTGTATCGGCTGATCAGCCGCAACAACAGAGGCAATGGTGCCGGCAAGCATGACGGGGAAGATCGGTAACAGCCAGGAGGGCATCATCTTCTGGAGCATGTATGTATGTCCAATGAATAGGAAAGTGTAGTGGAATACAGCGAGCGCGAAGGTGCAGCTTGCGTATGCCCAAAATGCAATAGCCATAGTGGTTGTCAGCCACCCTCGCATCTGATGCTGCGCATCGTAAGACGCAACGACGTACTCTTGTGTGCTGGTGATGATAGTAGCAACGGATAGCCAAAATGTGGGGAAGAAGAGGCCTTCTCGTTCGTGCTTGAGAGATTCCTTGAGAGATCCCGGAAATTTCGTGAAGCGAAGGATCATCGCCGAGCAGAGAACCGTAAAAATTATAAGATTGAGGGCGTAGAATATTGCACCGATGGTAATAAGACCAGGAAATGCATGAGGCTGAATGGAAATTAGTGTTGCGAAGCCACCAGTGCTCATGGTCAATGTATACCATGCCCACGTGAAGTGGTACAGCCGCTGACTTAAGGGGAGCTTTGGCTGGTGGGGGTCCTTCTCGTGCGAATAATGCGGCGGAGAGTAGCTGTGTGTTGCTTGTTTTTCAAGGTCGACTGAATCACGAGCAGTATCCGTTGCCGTTTTCTCGATATCCCTCTTGTCTACCATGTATGGTTGCTTTCCCTTCCAACCGATCGAATGACTGGTTTGGGATACAGGAAAGTATACCTCATTCAAGATTAGGGGTCCGACCTGTACGAAGGTATTGGCGCGGTTGCTGTGGCCGGATTGATCTAGGTCGAACTGTGGATTGAAGCGTGGTTTAAATGAAGACTCGGACGAGAGGTCAGAGGGATTATATCGAGGATCCATTGCTAGTATCTTAGGAGAGGCGGCCTGCACCACGAGAGCAAAGAAATGAAAGTTCTAGAATAAAAAATGTACAAAACCAAAAAGGAGAGCAATTAGTTCAATACCGGGTCCGTTCGGAAGAGAGAATGGAACAGGATAAATAGTCTTGAGACCCCACAAGGGGGGATAAAAGCGCCAAGCACGAAGGTCCAACGCGAAGAGACCTTTTCAAATCACGTAACACTGATAGCCACTACAATCAAACAGTATGTAGTAAAGCGTATTCCTCTAACGACATATGGGTGGAGTGGAATGCCGCTCTTCTTGGCGGAGATGAAGCGTTTCTTCGAACCTTCTCCTCATACCCACCGCGAAGCTTCGGATAAGGATTTGCGCTAAATACTACAGTCTTACGATTGGCTGCGGATCGTTTTCACCTGCCGCGAAGGTTCCAAAAATGTAGTTCGTTCTTGGCCAAGCTTCAATGCCAAAGGAAAAACAAGCTCCATTGCTGTATTTAGAAAGAATGTTGATATCGGCTGATCCGAAAGCGAGTTGTGTAGTGGGACTGAGCAGAGCAAAGTGAGCTCGAATTAGTTGCAATCATATCCCGACCCGTAGGTCAACTCGTCCATGTGCTCTCGTGAAAGATGGTGGTGCAGGAAATTTTCGTGGAATGAAGTTTCTCGGCCGAAAAAGTTTGCGACGAATCTTTTGTGGAGTAAATTTTCTCAACGAGAAGAACTTTAAGATCGTCAACAATAATGAATAAACCTCAAGGTCGAGAACACAGCCGAGGGCACTAGCAGGGGTTATTGCAGCATATCAAGCGCCCTTTCAAGTATGGTGAGCCTCGCGAAGTTGTCGTCAAACAGCTTGTCAGCCTTGTCGTTCCTGTACCATAGACAATGACTGCAATACTACCTTGCCATATAAAGCATCCGAATGCTCCCGATGGCACGTCGAAACCAGGTTAATACTTGGTGCGGGAGATAGACTATTAAGACGTAATGCGGCTCTTGGTCGGTGCTTGCCGTCCGGAAAGGGAGTGAAACAGCCATGGAAACGCCCGAAGCGGATCGGTCCTCTAACGTGGAATGAGCGCGCCAAGCACCTCACACACGCGAAACACTTGGAAGGGTCAAGCCCCCACCTCTTCAAGACGACTTCGCCCCGAGTGGTAGCTTGGTATCGAAATGCCATGGCACAGAATCGCAGGCTCGTTATTTTGGGGCCAGTGAACATGTGCTTGGCATCTCCTGAAGGGTACGTGACGATCCGAAAGTGGACTCTAGATGGTATAAATCCTCATCGAGGGGTCAACTCCGGCGCATAACACAGGAGAACATCGCATAAGTGAAGTCCGAGGGATTCGCACTCCAAGGTAATGCACGTCCAAGTCGGTGTCGGGCATGTATAGCAGCACGATAACGATAGAATCTTCATGGTAGCGCAACCGAAGAGAGAAGGCATAGGAGTTCTACACGTTTAGCTGTCCCTTTTACTGCGAAAGGATGTTCCCGCAAACTTGGCGTGCTATACTAAGTGCGGATGCCAATCGGGTTCAGATCTTTTGGATGTTAAGTCTACTCTTGATAGGAGGGGGGGTTTTGGTGCACACGGGGTCGCAGGCCTTGCGCGTGCTTGAAATGGTTTCTAGATGTAAAATTATGAAGATGCATATCGCGGCTGTGTAAGTGGCGATGACCGGCAGGTGTGATGATGGTGCTGAGACTTCACGTGAGCGAAGGAAGGTTGAGAGTCGAGGCGAGATGAGTGAGGTTTCCCGGCCCGCAAGCGGGTGGCGTCAAACTCGGCCGCGGATCCGTGACAGACAACCCAAGCTTATTTTGACCGCGACAACCTCCAATGTCTAACCTAATACTTGTCCCGGTATTGCGAAAATACCCTTTGAGTTCATGAATACTTGAACAATGAAGTTATGCCAGAGAAAGGATGCTGAAGTGAGAGGACGAAGCTCTATCTTGGACTGCTGCCACGAGAGACAGGCCAGGATCAATTTCAGCTCACTTGCATTCGCTCGACGTAGGAATGCAAAATTTTCTTCAAAATACAACAATGCTAACTTATGGATGAAACTATTAGACCCGCAATAATTCGATCTTAGAAGATAAAACAATGTGGTACTTCCGAACGGAACCTCAGGACATCGAAAAAACCCTACCACCCACCATAACGAAATCTCATCGCGGACAATAAATTTAGAATAATGACAGTTACCCAGGCATATTTGCTAAAGACATCAAGTTTCAAAGGCTAAAAAAAGGCGGTTCTTCGGGGATCGTTACTATTGTGACCGGCCAGATATTCAGCACTCCTTCCCAAGCCTTCACGACCACATAGTCTTCGAAGTTCGTCAACTGAATCGAGATTCCAACGAGGACCTTAGGCGTATTGAAGATAACCCGAGTGTCGTAGTTGATCTTCTTGTCCGCCATCATGGCTTTAAATGCCTCGTGGGTCTGCGGAGAATGAGCTCGAGTTAAAACCGTTCTAACCACGTTCCCACTCACGTATCCTTCTTTGAACTCGATGATATACGCACCTGGTACATTTTCTTGTCCCGCCTCCACCCCTCGGGTTCCGATGGGCCGCGAATCGATCGGACGGGGCTCAACTGGACGACCTTCAACCGGCCGTCCATCGATGGGACGGCCATTAAAGTCAACAGGCCTATCACCAATGTCGCCCGCAATCGGCGCAGAGACCGGAAGGCCAGCGACAAATGCAACTAGAACAAGGAAAACACAGAAGATCTTCATGTTTTTGAAGGACGTTACTGGTCTGGATCTGAGCAGGATATTTCGGATATCTGCAGTGGCATGCGCTGAACTCCCATCATGCCCAAGCTTGCGTAGACCCTTTATACTCCAGACTCGGAGGCAAATCCCCGGGATTGCGATCCAAATTACCCTGGACAATATGATCTTCGATATTCGCGATGAATCTAGGAGATATGCTGAATATGGGTTGGCGAATGGCCTTCAGCCGAATACGAGCCGCCAGATTGAAAGGATTAGGATCCATGTGGTCGGGTATCGATCCATTGCACTCTCAGTAGATGAAGACCAAAATAGTGCCTCCCTTCGGACAGTGCGATGATAGATGAACATCACTCTTGATGATTGGGCAAGGGTAACATTCCATTCCGATTATTCGGTGAATTCACAACTACGTGATCTTGATCCTAAGTGCTCTCTTGCGACACTTCAAGATAAACTCGAGGTGCAATGTGCAGCGAACCAATCTAACTACACGACAATAGCCTTATCAGGCCACTATCGCTGAACGGGGAGCATATCTCAACGCACGAAAGGAAGCTCATTTGACATTTTCTGTCCATGGACATCCAGACTCAAGCAAAGAGAGGTATAGGCATATTTTAGAGGAAAGACTGGTATTGCTGCAGCAACTATATCTGGCGAACAAGTCAAAGCCTTCGTGACGAACGGGGTCGCGGTGTCTGACGCATATGTGCGAGAAAGTCCAATACAACCTCGTTCAAAGTACGTGCAGGTTGCTTCTCATACTCCTCCCGCTTTCGGCACCCCAGCAAGCACATTCATCCCCTCGGTCCCCGTGCCTTTCATTCCTTGTCACCTTTGCCTCAATTCAAATCACCATCTCCAACAGCGCCAGCCAATAACGCCAACCTCGAAGAAATCAGAGCCACACTGTCCTCAAACAAATCCAGTCCCTGTGTCGCATTGTAGGATATCAGACTCTTGAGCGTATACGTTCATGCTTGGCAGCAAAACTGGTTGCTCAGCATCATCTTCCCAGCAAAGATCATTCGCCCACAAAAACCTAGCCATCTAGCTCGCATATTGACATCTATTAAAATGAGTGTGGAGATCCTAGCTGGTCGAAAGATGGAGGGTTAATGTAACATGATGCTGCTAGAGATGTTGATGACAAAGGAGAGGAACATACCGACATGCCATCGCGGTTTCGTGAAGTCGACATACCAGCCAAGGAACAGTATAGTGATTAACCCCAACTCCGCTGGCTGCCAATTCTTAGTTCACTTCCTCGATAGAATAATCTTCCAGCCCCCTCAGCTACTTGTTCATGATGGTGTTTGTAGAAACTAGCTCCATGTTCGAAGCAAAAATCCATACTAAAATTAGAACTCACCAATGCCATGTTCCAATGGCTCTACCGATAGTGCTCCATCCAATTTGACCGCGGGTCTTATTCACATCTAGTAGCCGTTCCATGGCAATTGCTCGTTCTACGAGAGTGAGATCTGCCTCTTCAACGACTCGGCATTTTTAGGGAAGCAAGGATATCCGTACGCTGCAATAGAAATCGTGATCGAGAATCGGCGATGAAAAGTCACCACCATCTCGCGAGCCTGTGTGTTTCCCATTCATACTATTGTAAATTCCGCTTCGAGGGAAACCCAAGAACCTTATGCTGGCTCGACCGCTAGAAGTAAAAATCGCTATGCTGCAACAAGGCTCTTCCTTTCCATATGAGCTGTTTAGGATTCATCGTTCAACGAAGAGCGAGTATTCAAAGATAACCCGTAAAAATCGTATTAATATGGCGGGCTCAGGGCAATCAACGAATGCAGTGCTTAGCGTAAGTGATCTCATGCAACTATAGCGACAGATGCGAGGGGAAAGGACTTGCATGATATAGCTAGTGGGGAGTTGGTCGAGGCGTAGCCTTGTGGAAGGCTGGGCGGTATCGTATGAAGGACAAGGGACTAGCGGAACGGTTTTACTCCTATTGACTTAGCTCAATTACGTTCCTTGGAATCCACCTTCTATCATACCGGATGTATACGAGCTATTGAGATTTGTGCGGCCATGGCAGTTAACCCAGTATATCACACAAAAATGTAGGCCATGAGAAAGAAGTTTGGCTTGACGGTGAGACAGCGCTCCCCCTTCGTATCAGTCGGCTGACTCCAGATAATTTCACGGTGAAAATCTCCAGGGAGCTGGATTTCAGAGTCCTGATGTCAAGGTTCAGTGGACAAATCGCGAATGAAAGAGCGAGGTGATGTGAGACGAGGCTCTGGGGGACACCATTGACTAGAGATATGGATGGGCTCATCCTTCAATCTAAAGATATTGTATCATCGCAGGAAGACCTTCGTGAATAAATATCAAGATACCCTCCAAGGCTGCGTTGACTGATGCGGGTACTCTACTAAGTGAAAGTTGTGCTTGGGATGGTGCCCCCAAACGTTCGGCTTGGTGCAGGTATTAACCGCAGATCCATGTTAGAGGAAGATAAGCGTGTGATCAACCTCCTCTGACTGTGATAGGCTTACCTAACTCCAAATATATTCATATCGAGTTGTGACGGCGCTGTTTCTCGGGAGTGGTACTGCGTTCCCCTCTCATGCGGCCACTCGCTTGGGTCAGTGGGTGCGCGTCGTCTATCCCAGATCCCAATGTTGTTCGAGATATATACGACCCTTGGAAATGGCATATAAATTCCACAAGAAACTTCTAAGGAAAAGTCTAGATGCGTTAGGAAGTAAGGAAGAAGCTTTCGCTACAAGAGACCACGATAAGTACAACCTGGACGCTGCACAGTGCTAAACGAGCCCTCTTTCCCACCACTAACGACAGGTGATCGTGTCTTACGTTTTCGTCTTTTTCCGATATCATAGTAACTCATATATTTAGTGCTACGGGCCGATATGGCTCATCTCGATCTCTCTGAGTTCGACAAGGCAACCGAAGCGCGGTCGTGACGGTGGAGACCATGTTAGAAAACTGTCGTAGGTCCCGGACGGATTTCTACATCTCGTGAACCACGGTATCGGTCGCAAGACTTACAGATACCACACGAACATTAAAAAAAGCCGCCTTAGGTCTTCCATTCATGGGGAAAGGCCATGGTTCATAATAAAAGCGAAGATAAATAAAGGGCAATTTGGCGACTTTAAGTCGTGATACTTACGATCCGCAAATGGGCTGTTATGCGTAGATGCGGGACAGGTGGATACGGAGTTAATGTTTAGCAGTCTTACATGAAAAAAATTATCGATGGAATTAGCCTTCGGAGATCGAAGAGAAACAAGCCGACATTCCACCAATGCCCCGGCCCTTAGACTAGAATACCAAAGACTTACCCCCTCATCTCGGCTGCTCTAGTCCTCTGTTTTGAACCCACCGTTGTCCTGTTACTCTAAAAAAAAAAAAGGAGCCAAGAGCAGTATCTCCATATAAACTTAAGGCTTCAACTTACTAACAATATTTAGGAAGGATTTTCTGATATAGTAGGAATTGTGTTAAGATTCTGATGTATACAATTTTGGCGAGGGGAAAAAATAAAGCCACAGCGGTTTGGACAGACAGATTCTTTCTTTTTGCTCCACGTTCTTCTTCAGCGGTACTTGAAGCATCTCTTCGAAGCACCTACCTACCGTAATGCCCTTAATATCCTCATATCGGACTCCAGGTTCTCGAAACTGCTCCAACAACCCCACCACCGCATCTTCATTCGGCTGCAGAAAATCAGCATCCCAAAAGGTTCCTTGCCTCCCATGTTGACCTATGAATAGTACTCTTCTAGTGTCCCCCAATGGCCATCTTCAGGAAATCTCCAATGTTAACGACGAAGGTTCGATTATCCGCGACTGAATGGAAATTGATTACGTCGTCGTTAGAAACTTTGAGAACTGGTTCGGTGGTTGGCGAATACTATACGCAAGTAACTGGCAGGAATCTCTCCGGGCGTCTATTCATATACTGGGAGAACTGGCGTGTGGCGGAGTCGAAGTGATCCCCCGGGAAGGTTAAGAGTCAGCACAGAGATAGGAATCAGGCACTTTGCGAAGAAGGGCATGTGCATGTAGTAGTGGTAAATGGGAGGACGAAATAAAGATGCAAATGGCAATGAGAGCCATTGGTTGCGAGGCTTTGGCATCGTAGCCTGCGGACAAGAATCGCTTTGCTCAGCATCCATTACGTCTTCGCCTATGTAACCCCAATACTTCTCTCTCACTGATATGGGCTTCCACTTCGGCCTCTTCTGGCAATGCACGCAATGTCCTCGAAAGTCCCATGGCATACGTGATCAGGGATTTCATTGTTCACTGCATAAAAGGAGCCGACATCGCGACACGCTATCCCCACTTCTTCCAGCCGATTCCTATCCAGAATATCCGAAGATAGCAAGCGGCTCATATCGATACTTGAAAGTTCCGCAAAGGTCGGCTCAGCGGCAGCGCCTGTGAGAACCGGCCGACTTCCATGTACTCTGACATCATGGTAGTGAAAGCATTCTACGAAATCGCAGATCATCATCTGATAATACCGGGGACTCCAGAAATAATAGATATGACGGGGCTTCAAACCTCACGATTTTGATAATTGATGAGGGGTTCAGAGGTGGCGTTTCTCCTTGCAGGCAAGAGGTCTCAGGATCTGATAGGCCAACTCCGTCACTAAACCACGCAAAGGGTTTATCAGGCCTTGATCGAATCTATCTTATACGAACCATTTCTATCGCTATCTCTTATATTGGTTAAGGACAGAAGTCTAAGAGTACCCCCCAACTTATAGCGCTCTGCAGCTCCCCCTTCTCCACCACTTCGCCCCCCCTTGGTCCCCCAATCTGTCCTTCTAATCCTAGACTAAAGCACGATGTGAATGCCGAATTTAAGCAGATTTCCGCACATAAGCCACTGGGCCGTCATAGATATGCCTCCCTTTGAAGACATAGAAGCCGGAAGAGAAGATGACGGTTGATCCAAACATTAAACAACTCCAGTTCATCAAATCGGGAGTAGGCATAACTACTGGCGGAAAGAATGACCAGAAGAATACGAAGAACAGAAAAGCAATGGAGATGATATTGATCGGGAGACCCCACCGACCCAGCTTGAATTTCGATGGGAGAAGCGGTTCACCACGGATACGCTTGTACGCAATGCAAGAGATCGAGACCGAGTATGAGATGAGATTCGCGGCTGAACCTAGCGATCCAATGCTGTTCAGGGCGACAGGAGAACCGAGGTTAATGAGAGACAGGAGACATGAGATCGTGAAGGAGAACCAGAGGGCGTTGAGTGGTACGTCGTACCTCGGTGAAATCTGATTGAAGTTAGCGTAGTTTGGAGGATAGCTCGTTTGGGAACTTACTTTTGCGAAGACCTGGTGGAACGGAATGCCCTTGTCTCGTGCAAAGGCAAATAGCTGACGAGAAGAAGTGGCCGTGGTGGTTACGTTACAAAACAAAAACATGAAAATGACGACAAAGCCCATAGCGGTCGCACCGCCAGTGGACTTAGTCGAGTTATAAAATACGTAAAGGTAGGGCTGCCTGGTCGGCGATGCTAGCGCGTCATCTACGCTGCCGATGACCATGCAGAATGTGATGATCATTATCCAACCCATTGCCCCATTGGTCAAAATCGTCCAGATCATAGCTCGAGGAAGGGTCTTGGAAGCATCTCGAAGCTCTTCCGACATGTGCACTGCAGCATCACCCCCGAGAATGGGCATCGTAGATCCTATCATACCCACAAGCGTGGCGACGCCCATGTTACCCCATCCGCCACCGTCGTTGAAAGTCGTAAAAGTTTCATGAGTGTTCCCCACAGGGCCAGAGACCCAGAGCACGGTTAGGACAGCGAAGAAGCCGAAAATGTGAACGACTAAGACAAGGGACTCGATCAATGGAAGCTTCTTCGCCAAGAAGACATTGAATACAACATTCATAGCGGATACGGCGACGGTGAGTAGTGTGCCGTGCCAGGCTTCGAATGTATAGTTAGGGTTGTTGAGTGCGATCAGACCTTGGATCTGTACAGCTGCAATGAACGCGGACACTGCGGCACCAGTTTGCCATCCAAGGATGCACAGCCAACCTATTGAGATGTAAGTTTAGGTCCAGCGAAAACGCCGATTAAAAGTACCGATCATATAACTCAAGACTTTCTGATATTTTGCTGGAGCGAACTCGCTGACCTGTTAAGTCGGATTAGACGTAATTATCGATGGGAAAGGGGCGATCGCTAACCCAATGATATTGCCCTCCCGAGGTTGGCGCCATTGATCCCATCTCCGCCATCGATGTGTAGACGAAGGTCAATCCAATCCAGACGAACAGAAAAGTCCATATCAAACCAGCTGTGCCACCGTCAATGAGGCCGATTGCTGACGTTCTAGCAACAGTCAGTAAATGCTCCATTGTGGACAAAGTTTACTTAGTATTATATACCCAAGGACCCATTCCCAGGCTCCCATAAGGACCATCGTGAAGCCATACATGGACACGAAACGAAAGTTCCGCTGCCTTGAATTAGAGCGAACAAACGTAGCCATAGAGACGGATGGATCTTACCCTCAGCTCCTGGACTTTCCCCATCCTCCACATTGCATGTCTATCTGCACTTGTGCCCTTCTTAACTGACACCACGTCGGACTCATCTTCGCCTAAGTCAACGTCGTACGTCTCTGCATTGACGCTGGCTTCTTTCTTTTGCTCGTCCATGACCGTGGTCTCTGGTAAAGCGCGCGATGTTTTGGTTGAAGCGCGGTGTTTGGGTTGAAGGAATGAAAAAGACGGAACGTGCGGGCAAGGCCTTGTAATAACGTACCTAGACGAGCAGTGTTCCTGCCCCAGGTGCGGAGTCTTCGAGGACCGTTGGTCGACGGAATGCGGCTGTGGGGACGTCCGAGTTGCCGGGATATCAAGGGTAGATAACGACTTCGCGGGATTATCCTAGAGAGAACTTCGACACGGCTCGTCTGCGGGAGCGGAAGCGGAAGCGGAAGCGGGAAGTATTGGTGTGAATGAAGAACGCGCTTAAATCATGCAGGTGGAATCCTCCTAAGGAAGCCGAGTACGATCCGGTGTCGGCCGTGTGCAGTTCCGCAAATTGGCCCCGCGCGATATGCGTCCTTTCAGCGAATTAGACATCAATATGTCCCGCACCTAAGGAACGCCTCACATTGGCGAGTGAACAACTCGTGTCGTGCATCGTGCGTCGTCGGGATAGCAGTCGAACAGTGTAAGACCATGATTGTTCTCAGCTCTGGCCCCTCCCTCCGTGCGGCACACCGCTTGAACAGTGTGCTTATGATTACGATCCACAATGATACGATTCTTACTGACGGTGTAATTGTTTTTTCCTGCGCGGCACATCCGTTTAGGCCGAGGGGCGAAGAAAAGGTTGGTGATAACGCGCGGCGCTAACCCATGCACGCCGAGGGGTATTGCCTGGTAGCTTTTTGTGTAACAAATCTTTTTCCAGATGGAGGCTGCATCTTCAAGGCAGACCCAAACGGTCAAATTCCAAAACTCCAAATCCCAACCAAATGGTCCGGCTCAGACGCACGGGACAGCTTCTGGGGCAGGACCCAACAGTCAGGAATCAGGATTCACGGAATCTCAAACCCACCCAAATGGTCGGCTCAAGCGCACAGCGTCGAGATATTGTTCCTTTTCTCTATTAACACAGCGTGAGTATTCTTGCTTTATTCTTATAAGGGAGACAACCCATGACCTGTTAGAAGTACTCCCCTGATATCGCGTTTGTCGTTCTCCACTTCGACTGACCTCCAAGATGGATACCTCACAGACAACAACCGACACATCCAATCGATTTGCCCTCATTACGCACGAAAACATTTCTGGATACCTTTGGATCGCAAGTATTCTTTGCCCCATCTATGCATTCCTTGTCATCTTCATACGGTGGCACATTAAATGGAATTTATATGGTTTGGATGATGCGACAGCAACTTTGGCAACAGTACGTCAGGCTGATCCTTACAACTTGTTGAAACTGACGATGATTTAGTTTCTGCAACTAGGAGGATGTATCCCACTGTTCCTCGCGATGAATCATGGATTGGGGAAAAGTGACCGTCTCGTCGACGCTGCAGTGATAGACGAGGCTGGAAAAGTAGGGTCTTCTAAAAACTTTTGTTGCGAGTCTAACCTGCAGAGCAGACAACCTTTATTGCCCAGATCTTTCTCCTTGCCTCCCTAGCTACGGCTAAATGCTCCGTTGCGTATCTACTGCTTCGTCTGTTTACACGGGACCTGGAAGTCACCCGGAAACCCTGGCTACTATGCAATGGCACACTGGCCCTCACGATTGTATGGGGAATAGGGTCTATTATTGCTATATCCGCTGGATGCCAACCCTCTGCCTTGCTTCAGGACGGTAGCCTCAGCCATTGCAGCAACCAGCTGACGCGTTGGCGAGTCATCACCTGCTTCGATATTTTCATCGAGCTCCTCCTCATCCTTCTCCCAGTTTTCTTTATTTGGCCGATCCAAATGAAGCGGTACATCAAGGTCCAAGTTGTGATCGCCTTCGGACTTCGAGCACCCGTTATTGTATTCACTGCAACACGTCTACATTATATCACTTCATACACGAATAGCACGAACACACGATATTCAATAATCCCTGCTCTGGCATACCTGCAACTTGAGGTATTCTGGGCACTGCTAGCGGCAACCATTCCTACTTTGAAGGCGTTCATGAGGTCATTTAATTCCGGGTTTGGAATGGAAATTGATCTCGACGGGTATGGCTCCGTCTCTGGATATCATCAAGGAAGCATTCCGTTGCAGAGTCTTTCAAAGTCAAACACACGTCACGGGACTTCACCCTCGAGATTCGGCCGGAAAACGCGAGAAGACAGTTCCGCGTTGGATGATACCAGGGAGGAAGTCTCGAAGCTTGTGGGAAGCAGTATCCGACCCGACAATGTTGGTACCCAGACTTCAATCTATCACCCGGAAAGAGCCAAGGGAGCAAATAGTGTTGGGAGTGACGGAAGCCAGGAGATGATAATCAAAAGAGAAGTGCAGTGGACGGTATGGCACGAGGAGTCGAAACCATGAGGAAGGGCACAAAGCGACGGGATCGGATCAGAATCGGAGGGTTCGTCGGCTTGTACAACATTCTCCCATTCAGTATCTTACAAAAGCGTTACAGTACGGTTTCAACAGGGCAAAATCGGGAGGCTTGGTTTGAATCTGCTTTGGGATCTCACAAATGATTCTCCTTTTTCCTCGGCGGCGTTATTGCCACCACGTCCTAGAGCACAAGTCAAGTTCAGGATGGTCAGTTCACCGCAAAAAGTAGACGAATGCAATTGGGTACCGCTAGAACGGTACGTGGCTGAATACTTCACCTCTCGCACGACTGCACTATCTCTACCGACAGGGATTCTCGTGTTGTGCTGCAATCAACCACTCGGAGGTCACATTTAAGTGTGACAATTTTCGGGGCGCGTGGCACGGAAGATGATCAAGGAGATACGTTGAAGGATGCAGAGAAACGTCCCGCTTTTCACCGAGACCCTGATTTCTCCTCCTGAGAGACAGAATTGACATGGTAGCAAAAGCGTGCTGTAAACGCCTTAAACCGGCCAGGCGCCGTTGGCGCTTTCGCGGGGAGTCCCTTCTCCCGCAATGTGCAAATCGCCCGATTTGATTTAAGGGTGCCGGGAACCTCGCCCATTGGCCGTATTCTGCGACAAGCCTCCTAACGCGGACGTTGTGGCTGGCGCATGTGCGCTCGTTCACAAAAACAGTGTGGTGAATTGTGTGCTTTTCCACCCTGCGCAAAAGAAGCAAAAGAAATTGTGCGCGGGATGTCACAAAGCTAGAAATCCACTTGGCAACTCGCTCCTCCTTCTCCATCAAGTTAATTTACAGATGCGGTTGATCCGCTGCATTGGATTCTTTCAGCACAGTGTGCAATTGGATCCGGTGGAGAGGAAAATGCCCCATTAAACTCTCGGCATCAGCCATGCGCACGGGATCCGACAGGCCGTGACCGGCACGCATCGACAGTGATAGACACGCCGCAGTGGTCGCCATTTTCGGCGGAAGTCTTAGAGGCCAAGGCAAATGATGTGGCGTTGAAGTACGGCTGTCAGAATTGCTGTGGTTGGATCTGACTGGGACACCCTTCGAATGACGAACAGCCCTCAGGTTCAGTCCTCATGCAGAGCAGGTGTTCCCAGTCACCCCACGCGTCTCCTTGCGCAACCGGGGGCGTTTCCTTTTCTCTCAAACATTCAACGAATACGAAGAGCCCACCGAGGAGAGCTGGAGCTCATGTCATGCCACATCCCATGCTCCCTTTGCCCGAGACTGATTGACGAAACGAGTTGATTGGAAGCTTGGAAGGGGTGACATGGGTGAAAAGAAAACCCCCGATGCAGGTGGCTGGGAAGGAAGAAATGTGCGAAGATCGAAGGAGGGTTGAGTTGAAACCGAGATATTATCGTAGCGCTATAGGACGACGCCTTTCAAAGTACCGTTTGGGGGCTAATAAGGCGAATTTGAACGCCTCTAAAGTGGTAGCGTCCCCTGACCTGCGTTTGTTTTAGCTAACTAAGACGAGAAATGGGTCTACTTGTTTCCTCTCGCACAAACCCCCTTCTTCTTTTGCAGCTGAAAGAATTAAGGGTTTCCTTCTTAAACCAAGTACAGGAGCCCTTCTCATTTCCCCCTCCTCTCATTCGACCTTCATGTCTATGATGCTTTGATTCTGCAGTAGCCGCACAGCATTCGACTCATCGTCGCATAATGAAAATTATTGGCCACGTCCTTTCTAGATATTCCTATTAGTGGCCGCTAGTTGTGGCGAACAAAGAAGATACACATTTTAGCCGCCACCGAACACCAGAGTAACCCCTTTAACACCGGTATGCGGACGTGTCTGCCTAGCTTTTGGAGCATCTGCAGAGGTTTCAAAGACGTCAATGACAAGGGCGCAGGCAGCATGATCGATCCCATCAGCATAGCTTTACCTGTGAAGATTTTGAAGGACGCGAAATGGGCGTGTAGAATGTCTTGCCCAATTTTGAGCCCAGTCGAAATAGTGCCATGAAGGCGCTGATGCGCGTCCCAGTGGTGATGGCGGAACCTTCTGGGAAGCAAAAGCGTAACATTTCCCCTGGTTGACATGAGGAATAGAAGACTAGAAGTGAGGTTTAAGTTTATAGATGATTGATCAAACACGGGAAGGGTTCCTATGCGGCACAGTATTAGCGTCAACATTAGACTGCATGCACAGTCCCGAGACAACCATCATCCACATTCGGTCCGGCAAATGTCGAATAATGGCAGGACCTGTCGATTCTTGAAGACAAGTGACTTGTGTTCGCACATGGCCCGAAGGGACTCGCAAGGTTCATGTGGAAGCCACCGGAAGCTAGGAGCCGGCCCGACCGAACTAACCTAGAGCCCGTATTTGGGTCACACCTTTAATTCAACCTCCATTTTCCATCTTCACCATCATTAGATGCTGCTTTATTCGTAACAAATTTCTTCGTGCAAATAGAATTTTGGAGGATTTTGCAAATGTCAGTGCCTGGCGTTGGATGGTGCTTTGCGTCTGTTTGGCTTGAACTGAGAGAATCTTCCATTAGTTTAGGAGCCTTATGTTGGATTATTGCTGAAGGCGGAACGAACATACCTGAAAGTACGCACCACATTTCTATTAGTACTGTCGAAGGTGGTAAAAAGAACCAAGTCGATGAATAACGCCTACTGTTTAGGCGACAGCAACAGAACATGAAAACTGGAGGTTGGACGCATGTGAACCAACCTACAGACCGCAATGGCAAACGCCTGGGAGTGTTTCCGTTTGGTTATCTATTTGAGTGTTCCTTCTATCTATGCACTCTTTAATCCCTTACACATCCATCTTCCCCCTTCCATCTTGTCTAAAACTCTCCGTACTAACACTCATTTTAACTGTCTGCCGAATAACTCTCCCATTCTCATTTAGAATATAATCCTCACTCTCATTGTCGGCTTGTCCGTCCTTCCCCGCATGTATTTCCGTATAAGTATTTATATCCCTCCGTTTCGTTCCAGAGACGACTGAGGATAGAGCATACGAGTTTGGGGGCCTTGTCTCATCTTGCGATGGCCCGGAGGACGTTAGTCTGAACTTGGGAAAGATCCAGGAAATGAGGGGACGTGTTGTTGGAATAGAGGCAGTGGTGATAGCGGAGCCGAGTTCGGCGATGGACCATGTTGCGACGTCGGTTACACCCCCTGTGTGGTGGATTTAGTGTTCAATTTCAGGGGGTGGAGTCATAGAAGAGGAAATGCAACATACATGTGGGATCAGTTGATTTGTTTAGGTCATGTAAAAAAGGGAGCCGAATGATGCTAGTTATAAGAGTGCTAGACGATGTAAGCGAGGGGTTGGAAGACGCGGAGAAATCCCATACAAGCATCCGACTGAGCAGATTGCCAAAAGAGCGTATTTCTTCCTTCTCGGCACTTGGAGACCTACTTGTGATCAGCGGATGCCTCCATTTCCCATTTTGGAACGCGAGTACTCACCAGAAAAAATCAACCACGGCAAAGAGAGAATCATGAGATCTGTAAGGATATTTATTGAGGCGTCAACATAGTAAAACGCGGGCTGGTTGATACACGTTCCAGTCAACGACTTGTCCCAATAGTATGGCGTTGGCCGGCACTGCAAAAACAGCGTTATCGTGAAAGCGGTCTCTTGACACACCACAAATGCGGCAATTGTCCATATCCTTTTTTTCCATGGGCTCGTAGACGGTACCACTCGGGAGAGGAAGAGTAGAATGCTGAGTTTCGTGAACCCTTGGCTCGCTGGATACAAGACTTGTGATGAGAAACCACACTGCATTCATCAGTCAGTGACGTATCATCAAAAAATAAAAAAAGCATTGGAGACTATAAATACAGATATACCTTCTGCATGCTGACTCCGGTCTTTGGATAGTCAACATCGACGATGTGTATCCCGAGGCCATACTTCGTCGCAAACACAGTCGCGACAATCAGGCCGATGAACAGAATATATGCAATTGCGATCGCTATGTCATCCGCGCCGATATAAGAGAACTTCAAGCGTGAGATAATCCGGAGGGTTATGGCGATGGTAGCAAGTGGAAGGAAGCCGCCCATGAAACCATAGATTTGGGGAAAGCGATTCGGTGGGGTCTGGCCGGCCTGGCGCGTACGTCACGGTTAGCCTTAGGGAGCGGAGGAACGGGTGTTCGTGGGGGAAGACGTGGGTGAATGAGAAGATATGGGATCACGTACCGGAGTCGGCATAGGAGCCCCATCTTGTCTGCCTAAGAGTGCCTCGGAGATGTCAAGCATTGATATATCTAGGTCTCGATCGCACTCAACCCGCTTTCCTTCTCATCAACATGGGAGGAAACCAGTGCAACAAGCAAATGACGAGTGAACCAGATATCTGGTCAGAAAGATCGATCCCTTCTATAAGTGACCATAACGGTGGGGAAAGCACGGCCCTAGATCTCCTGGATAAAGTCAGCCTGAGTCGCATGCTGCAGGGTGTTCAAACTTTAGCAGCATTGACGCCATCGAGGAGTGTAGGACATCGCAGCCGAGAACTCTATTGTTGCTCACCCTTTTCTGAGTTCGACACGGTACTCCGTTGCGCGGCCTGAAAATTGTATTGATGCTCGGTCTCGCATCGCTTGTGGTAATAATGCTGGGTGTTGATTCGCTAATTGGAGTCTTGGAGGAAGCCCCTTCACATTTATCCGTAAGCACTAGTACAATACAGGCATCTTCCCCACAACTAAGGTACGCGTCCATCTTTCCTCGCCATGCAGCGCGCCGCCGCTGTCAAGTTTCAACTTGGAATTTGCGCGGATCTCCTAGCCTCTTTCACTCGCCTTCTCGCTTTATTCGCCTATGAGCGTTGCTTGATAATATCCGCAGCCTGCAGCAGAGTCAGGACAATCTACTTCTGCGTGAAAACCCTGCAGATCGCACAGAATAAAGTTTTGGATAAACTTTGTCTTCTGGTGCGCATCTTGGTTCTGCATCCTCCACCGGCGGAAAATAAAGATTGACGAATGACGTACCTTCTCAGCAATGGCATAAACAGTTTCGCACAGGTGTGTGCCTGGAATGAGGGGCATGATACTTGCATCTACGACGCTTAACTGCTTCACACCATACACGAGCAAATCTGTGCCGACGACTCCCCCTTTGTTGCGGGGCATCATGGCTGCGGAGCAACATGAGTGGAAGAATGAAGGCTGCACGAGAGTGTCTTTAAGTGCGGCGCTAATTTCCGCATCTGTTGAGACAGTCGGGCCCGGAAGTAGTTCTACCGGTCCAAGTTGTGCGATGGTAGATGTGTTGAAGTATTTCCGTGCATACTGAAGTAGTTTGACCATGACGGCGAGATCTATGGGATTTGAGAGTGCTCGAAAATCGACGACAGGCTCCGTCATGCCATCAGTGCTGTTGATCATAATTGTACCCCGCGACACCGGTTTTAGGAAGGCGAATACTGGCCCATTCGACGCAGAGAAGGGAAACTCAAATATGGCGTTTTGAGCACTCTGGTACCTATTCACCAAAATCTGCTTCTGAGCATTAAATCCAGCGAGGACCGAAGCCGATGTTGAAGAGTCGGCGTAAATTGACATGTTCTGGGCAGAGAGGGTCGACGCTATAGTTTTATACGCGTCTGTGAGATTTTTGAGAGGCACAAACGCTGCAGTATTTCCAACGCCGACGGAGTAAGGCCCTGGTAACGCATCAGCCCGAGCGGGGGTTCTCTGAGGAGATGTGCTACACCAAGTGCGGCATACAGACCTGTTCGATTCGTCCAGTACTCGTTATACGCTTCCGCAGCGAACGTGGCATTGTCCGTCAGCGTCTCTGGGTTTGGCCATACGTTAGAAGTGACTGTAGGGGGTTACTTAAGCCACATGGCTGCGATACGAGAGGTGCCTACAGTTGTACTGCATGAAGAAGAATGGATGGTCTTGGAAGTTTTGTCCAACACCTCCCAGGTCCAAGATCGTATTAACACCCGCAGCAGTGAGAATACTCGATGGGCCGATGCCGCTTAGCTGAAGCAGCTGCGGCGTATGGATTGCACCGGCAGCGAGAACAACTTCTTTCCTTGCGGCCACAAATTGGACCGTCGCGTTCTGCCTTGACCGAATCGTGACTCCTATGGCTGCTAAGTTCGCGAAGTTCAGTTTCGTGACTTTGTGAAGAGTTAGCAAATGGTAATTGGATCGCCGCTTCACCCGCTCGAAGTGTGCGAGCCGCGCATCAGACCGCGTCTGCGACTTGGGGTCTTGTGACGATGGGACCCAGAAGCGACCCACTGCATTCCCATTCGCCCCCTCCTTTTCAACTGTTAATCCCAAGTCTCCCCAGGCATTCCATTCAATTTCTTATTTCATGTTAAAACCACGTCATTGACTTTTGATAGCTGGAGATAGACTTACCTATGCCTGGCCACTGGAAATCTGGATAGCTCAATTGTACCGGACCACTCCCACCATACGCAGCGAGGTTATAAGTGACGTTGAACTCCTGCTGCATATACCTAGATGGAGGTGTAAAATTAACAGCCTGGCGGCACCTGTCAGTATGCTACTTCCGCCAACATCGCATCGAGACTACTGTACCTTCTTAAAGTAGGGCAGAAGGTCATCCCAGCCCCAGCCATGGTTACCTAGTTGAACCCAAGCATTATAATCCTCTGCTGCGCCGCGGTCAAAAAACATAGCATTGATTGCAGAGCCTCCACCAAGGATTGCAGAAGCCGGGACACTTGAGGTCCGGCCACTCAGATTCGTCTGTGGGAGAGAGGTGATGTTGTACATATACTGTGTAGGAAAGCCCGAGCCCCCCTTTGATGGCATGACGAGACTGGTGTCATTGTCGACAATCGGGCCAAACTCGACAACAAGAACGGTTTCTTCAGGTGTTAGAGAAATCAAGATTAGGAGAAAGAGGAGGGTTCAAGGCTCACTGGTGGAATCTTCAGTCAATCGATCCGCGACTGTAAGCCCACTTGTACCTCCACCAACAATGATATAGTCATACGAGCTCGCCACCTCTGACAGTGACCGAAGAGGTGTAGCCTTTTCCCAATTGCGAGAAGGAAGAGCCTCGCAAATACTCAAGAGACTAATCCATACTATGACTGCACATATGGTTCCAAACTCCATGTTGGAGTGATTTGACGGTGACATATGGGAGGCAGGTTGAGAGAGGCTGCGGCCCCGATTTTCTACGTGCTGGAAAACGCATGGTCCCTACCGCTCAATCGGGGCCAAACACGCGCTTCTTTCTGGAATTGCCTCCTTTAGTGCTAATTTGAGAGATGCGTACGTGTAATCTTACCGAAAAGTAACTCTCATGCGACGCACAGACGCTGGAGGCGGCGCATGTACTTTATTCGGGGGCCAGCTCCAGTGAACACTCCGGGGAAACGGAGCCGAGAGATGGATCCGAATCCTGGCATGGACGCATCCCAGAGACTGGAAGCGGAAAGTGGATGGGGGGAATAGAACAACCCTTTGAATTTGTTCTTGACGTCTGGAATTGATGTCGGAATAACACGCGGGATTCGTGTTCGCGATGGTGTCGCTTCACCGGACTCGACGGATGCTTGAAGAAGTAGGAAGGATCCACTGGGGACGGGAAGTGGACGTGGAAAATGATGGAAAGCATGTTAAAACAAGTGCAGTGATGTAAAGCAACGGGCGCATTATACAGAAACGTGTTGAACTGCACAATTAATTCCATGGAGAGTAAGGTTGTCGGAAGACTTGCAACATACAACGCAGGAAGTTAGACACAGGAATCGCACGGAAGTTGGATGGAAGGTGAATTTAATTATTTGCACGAAAGTAAGAAAATGAATCAACCCAAAAACGACCAGACGATCGCAGCAAGAGGACGTCGTTGTTGAGAAGCGATGAGATAAGCGCGCGCGCGTGTGTGTGTGTGTGTGTGTGTGTGTGTGTGTGTGTGTGTGTGTGTGTGGAGGCAGGTGGGCGAAAGTTCAGGCGGTTCGGAAGCTGGAGAGTTGACAAAAGCCAAATTGTTTCTCCATGGGTTGGTCTGGAGTGTTATCCCTCGGCTTCCTCTTTCAGATGCAGCGAAACAGGAAGCGGGACCTCACATAGCCCTAATTTAACATTGCCGTCTAAGTAACAATTCATTGCTGGCCTCCTGTGCACGTAGGTGTGTGAAGGCCAGCCGAACTCCACCAGATCCAGTTCATGATCGTCATAGTTATCATCTGCAGCTGACAAAACAGGGACAGAGGCAATGGATGCTATCATGGGTGACCCCCTCGAACATCCACAGTCCTCTCCCTACTCAGAGTTAGCGAAGAGACGTCGTCTAGGCTGAAATATGGCTGATGGATCCAGCCACAGCAGTCATTTCGCGACAACTGTCTCGACAACTGTCTCGACAACTACGACCAGTAGCGGGCCTCGTACCGTCACCACCAGTCGCACTGTGACAAACCCCGAAGGCACCAACTTTACAACCAGCCCACAATCAACAACCTTTGTGCATTCCACGATCACCACGGCCTACAGTAGCCCTCAGCAGCAGCATGTTGTTGCCTCAACTGCAACCCATACCGGGCGCCGGCCATCGATTCGAGTAAGAAGACAAGGCGTAGATCCAGGCATGCAAACTGCCACAAACAATGTTCCACGTGCCACTCGTAGACGAAGCTCGTCGGAACCAGACCCTGCGCAATCAGGTCCTCCGCAAGATGATCTCGAGATGCGCAAGCACATGACCGCCACTCCTCTCCAGACGCTGCACGAGGAGGGACCAGGCGCTATCACGCCCCAATTTCTAGCAGTTCCTTCGGCGCGTCTTCTGGAGAGACCTGCTCGGCCAGGCGCTGCTAGAAACTTGTCATCCATTAACATTCGGACGAGGGGGCACGATGCGCCAGAGTACGAGCCCCAGGTAGTGGATATGCTCGACGTCATTGGTGAGCCGCCTTCCTCATTCGAACGAGGCACCAACTAACCAGCCATGATTTTCAGATCCGGAAGTTGCAACCCTCACGACGCTGAACAACGTGCAAAACTCCTTATTCATTCCAAATCTTGGTTCCTTCTACCGTCGTCAGGCTACATATGACCTGTCGCAGTCCTCTCTGGATGATTCTAATGAAGAAATTGGTGTTGCGCAGGGATATCCAGAGGTTGAGCAAGGAAATATTGATGGCGGCAGGCGAAAGGCGTGTCCTCATTCTTTGAGTCGCCGGGACACAACTGCTACGATATCCTCCGTCCTCACAGGCCTGTCAGAGGGACACAACTACGCTGTCCTACCCCACGGAGCGTCTCTTTCCGGATGGACTGCGGAGGAGAAGGCTGCCTTGAACGACCATGTACGGCATTTGTTGCACTCACGGTGTGCGAAGTTCAGGCGTAGCATACGGGGTTTTGGGCGCTACGTCCGAAAACCTGTCGGCTTCCTTGTCTCCCTCTATGCCTTCCTCTTGACCTTCTGGGGCGCGGCCTGGGTGCTCTTTCTCATTGGTTGGATCAGCGTTCGCGGCCGTCAAACCTACTTCATCGAAATCTGCGATCAGATTCTCACCGCCCTCTTCTGTGTCGTCGGCATTGGCTTCGCGCCATGGAGAGCGGTGGACACGTACCACATGGTCTTCGTCGCACGCTATGCTCATCTGACTTGGCGTCTGAGGAAGGAGAGGGGTCTGCCAGATCTGAAGGATCGGAATGAATTGCCATCCCGACCGCTATCACACGCTTGGGAAACTGGAGAAGAGGTTGGCCCTGAATCTGAAGAGATCGTCTTGACGCCATCGCAACAGCAGAAATTAGAACATCACCAGGCCAAGCTAGCTAACTCTCACTCCTTCTACAAGCCTCACGAAACCACCACTCACCACGCTTTTTCCCTCCGCCTTCTTATCGCCATTGTTGTTTTGCTCGATTGCCATTCTTTATTCCAGATGGCGCTAGGTGGAACTACTTGGGGAATCTACTACAAGAATCGGCCTAAAGCCTTGACCGCTATCATTCTCACATGCAGTATCAGTTGCAACATCTCCGCTGGCATCACCATCAGCATTGGAGACAAGAGGAGCAGGAAGAGGATTGTTGTCGAGCAAATGTTTAGGCAGGGGTTGACGGAAGAGGCGCTCTCGGCTTTGAGAAGGGAAAGGGGGTTGACGGCAGAGGGTGTTGAGACAGAGAACCCGACTTGAGGGATTAGGAGTGAATCGAGTTTGGTTACAAATCTTCAACTGCTTTCCCACTCGTTCTCCCACCGGTTCCGTCTCCCAGCATCCCCCACTTCCCCGATGTCGGACTTAAACAGTTACCCAGACATCATACATGCGTTGACATCTGTAGTATAGACTGCTACAAGCTAGACAACCTCTCTCTGTTCCTCGGATGTAATATATCTAGACCGAGCACGGGTATTGACACTCGCAACACGTGAGGCAGAATCCCCCATCGTATCGCGCGTCTCACTCCCCGCGATTGAACTTGAAGCAATCACGGGCACTGATATACGAGTACATGTTATGATGCCTCCGATGAAGTATGCGTCTCCTCGGAGCAGCTTAGTGTTGGCGACGGTCAGACGTTGATGTCCTGACTATTCCTATCTCCTTATTCTATACACTCGCAGCAAAACACTGGTCGGAGATCTTTCGCGTTCGAGTTCGTCGGTTCCACTTCTACTCGCGCTATTATACTGCCTTCGTCATGCCATTGTGGTCGACACATAGAATTTAGCCATCATTGCCCTCGGTCCCTTATGTAACTTCAAGTACACCGGTGGATTACGGGCGAGGTAGAGCAGAGTAATGCCAATTATGAATGAGTTGGTATATAAATCGAGATAATAAGCAGGGTAGCTGTGGGGAGTAACTACCGTAGCGAATCTACCATCTCGGCCATTTCCCCCACACAAATGAAATGAAACATGTCTTAATGCCTATCGGGAAAATTTCCGATGCGCACTTTCGTTCAACTCAGATACGGCGACAAACCACAGATTCTTTCATGGTTTGTTTCTGGTCTTCGAAACTCAGAGTGATATCGCTCGCCTTTCAAGCGCAACGTCGTTTGGTATATTGGAGTGAGTTCAGTGCGCAGTTGCCCCTCGGGACGCTACTTGGCGAAGATTCGGGGCCTGACCGCATTGCCCTCGCGAAGTTGCAGCGCGAGCCTACATTGGCGTATAGAGCAAACGGTTAGCTTATCTAAACACAAGGAAGACACGACATCCGCCAATACTATTATTCGGGCTACGCTGAAATATACTTTAACAAGGCGAGTAACTTCTACCTCGCCGTGAGGCCAACTGAGCTTGGTTACATGCATCAGTTCAGGGGAAGAACGTTCCGCCTATGATATACTTCGTTGCGGAGGCATTAATTTCTGGTGGAAACTGGATGGCGATGTGAATTTATGCGATTAGGGTATACGTACTCTCCCATCGTTAAGTTTTCATCTTGTTCATTCTCAGATTTGCAAAGCCGGCGTGAAAGCTTTGCGCCGGCAGCATGATTCTGCTTCACGTGTGGAGATCCTTTCGAAAGAGTGGAACGGAAAAGTAGCAAAACTGTAAATAAAACCCGATACTGTTGTACTACGAGACAGTATGATAAGGTGAACTGTTGTTGTTCAGGTCTGCCTACAAAATCTTTAGGTACATATCTGTTTTGTTTCCCTGGCTGGGTAAGAGGCTTGGGGGTATGCAATAACCGGAAAGAACATGAAGGCTCCGCGAGGGGAACAAAGTCTTGGATTCAGCTCACATAGTCCTGGTATCTGCCTCAGGTATATCCTCTCTCGTATCTGAAAGGTCACTTGCACTGGGCTCTTGGGAATGGCTACCGTAAGTACTTTCCGAGGATCGTGGCTCAAGACGTTCTTCTGGGCATATTGTAAAGCCCTGATCGCTCGCGTGGAGGACAAAACTGCTAGGTAATGGGTACATTTGGTCGGTTTAGTAGACAGCCGCCCAAACCGATAAAGAGAAAGAAACTGCCTAGATTGGTTCTGATACACCATACCCTGGGTAGGCCTTCTACAGAAGGTTCCACCTGGCAGTTAGGCTTGTCCAAAACAGACCTCAAGCATTGGCACCACAGCCACGGCACGAACCAGATGTAGGCTTTGGTTTTACAATCACCGGAGCCAACGGAGTCGTAAAGAGTGGGGGTTGTTAACCCTCTCTGATCACTTTTCACCTCACCCATTATTCCTCAGCATTCATCGTCAGCGCATCCACGTACAGCCACCCCGGCTCTACATCTCCACGACATATTAAGTCCACTTGTGTGTCTTCGGTCTCTCCGATAGGAGCAGGCGTGGACGAGAATAGGACACCCGCCTTTGCAAACAAACGCTGAATGTGCTCCACATTCTCTGGAAAGTGTCCGTACCACGTGTGCCACCCAACTAGCTCCACTCTCTGTAACTTTGCTAAATGCTGAGTATTCGGGTTCGTGGCTATGGAATATAGAACAAGCTCGATTGATTTGTGATGGTTCGGGTCGATGTAGTGGATTTGTGTGGCTGGAAGGTTGGGGTAATGGGGGTTAAAGTAGAACATACAATCGAAGAATGTGAAGCGGAGGGTTTCCAGAGATAGGGGTAGGGCGTCCGAAAATGCAGACGCGTAGGTTCTTGGATCGGAGTTGAAGAAAATCAGGGGACCGATGTCTAGAGTGTGAAGGTTGGAAGATTTGAGGGCGTCGAAAAGGTCAATGATTTGGTCTGGTACTATGCCGTCGTTGCACCTGAGCCCCAGAGACTCTAGCGAATCTTTATGTTTCTCCAAGTCTCTAATTAGAGCCCATGTATCCAATCCTGTGAGGTGGATGTCGCTCATGTCGTTGCAAACGGAGTTGTACTCGAAGGATTTTAGTGCTCGGATCGCGCGCATGACGGGTTTTAGGTCATCGAGCATGATATGTGAGTCCCGAAGGCGGAGATGCTCAATATTGGAGCCATTCCGCTCGAGATGACTAGTGAAGGAATGGTTGGGGTCTTCCTCCCATTCGAAGAATGGTTCCGCCTCGTGCCGTATGTAGCAGACTTGGGTGAGCTCAAGGTTCCGCATAGAGGGAAGGATAAGCAGTGAAGTAATGTTTTCTAATCGCATGGGTCCTTGTATGACAGCTGATGTTAGACGGGAGAATGCATGTGGGGAGCGGGTGAAAATGGGATTGAACCAGTACAGGTGGTCATCCCATCTGTAGGTCTCAGACACTTCTAAGTGCTCCAAGTTAAGCGCAAATATGAGAAGTGTGTTCAGAAGCCGCTCATCGCCTTCGTATGGTAAGGTAGGTAGTTCTGTCGCTAGAAGCTGAGCGTACGGCGTCCCTTCATCTAGCTTCTGGATGAGCTCATTGGATGGCGAAATATAACCACGATGCCTATAAGAGTAGTGATCCGAGTTCTCAGTGAAGTAGTCCCAAGTAATAGTTTTGAGGTGTGAGGCGAGATATGGGTTTGTAGATATTATACGGAGGAAGAGGTACGGATGCCCATAGTAGAACGAATACCTTAAGTAGAGGAGTTGATTGCTCAGACGGCGGAGGCGCCAGTTGGTGAGGCCGAGGTTATAAACAGTGGAGAAAATACGGATGTGTTCATGTCTTCCACAGTGAGAGAGATGGCTGAGGATTTCGAGAAGTAATTCATCGGGTAGAGCTGAGAGGCTTGCCCTGGTGGAAGTCGACATCAAGCCTTGACATTGAAATACCGCAAGGTCCACAAGACTCATATGTCTTCGAAACTTGCGCGAGCTATTCTTAACTAATGGAGATCCTCGAACTTCGAAGAATCAACTCAGACGCGTCTTGGCTATCGATCGCAGCGATATTTTTCTCGGGCGTTATCATGAGGGTCGATGGCAGTAGTATCTGGCTCTCCCTTGTTTCGGTGCGTCTGAATTTAGGAAATCCTCAAAGGCAAGATGCTGCGAGAATCAAAAATATCGCGTGCGGGCTTGTGAAACTAATATTGGTGAGGGGATGCGCTGAAGCGGAATGCAGTTGGTGTGAATGTATTATGTCATCCTCGCTTAAGAAGCTCGAAATTAACGAGGGGCATGATTGCCGCTAAACTAGGTGCGGAATGACGTCATCGGCTGCCATCTCAACGCCAACGCTGGCATCTTCCCCACTACGAAGCGAACACCACCGTACGTAAAACTCTGGGGATGGCATTGCCTGTCGATTGGAAGTCACCTTTGAGAGACTCTCTTCCTCACTCTGTTGACAATTCACATGTAGAGACCAAACCAGAGTTGTTGATCCAGGTCCTCATCCTATCGTCGCCAGATTTCCCCGTGAAATAAAATCTACGATTGCTCAAGTGGGCCATATCAAGCCATGAACCCTCATTTACGATCTCTTCCTTCCTCGGCGGTTTCTCACTACATAAGATGGCGTCCATGATTGCCAGAATCAGGGTTGGCTCTGTCTCAGGTCGAATCCCAAACTTGATTCTGGCATGCTGCCTCACTAGTTGCCAAATCTGGGAAAGCGTCTACGAATACGTCACAACTGAGACTCTTACGCATATAAGCCGTTGAAATGCGATTCATATCCTCTCCATCCTACAATTGACCAACGAACCCTCTCCTCCACACATACCACACTTCGTGTCTCACCCAGACTCACCTGCCCAGTTACTTCAAATAACGTTTCTTCAAAAATCGAAATGGCCGGACTTCTCGGGGGCGGAGGTAACAACAAGAATGGAGGCGGTGGAGGGCTTCTGGGAGGGTAAGCATTTCACCATTCCTCCATGCCTTCATCTACCAGTGCGATCAAATCCGATCAATTGCTGACAAAACTCACCACGCAGAGTGTTAAACACGGTCAATGACACGACAAAAGGCCTCCCGATAGTCGGCCAGGTCACAGATCCTCTGCTCACCACAGTTGGTGGTGTTACAGATGGACTGCCAATTGTAAGTCTCCCCTTCATTGTCGCGGATTCAACGTGACCAGTCAGGTCAATCGACTGACCGCTTCGATATCAGATTGGGAGTGGGGGAGCCAGCAAGACCCAGGGCGCTTCGTCGGGTCTGACACCAGAGCAAGCTGCGTTAGCGAAGAAGAAACGTATGATCGCGTTGAGGAAGCAGCAGTTGGCCCTCGAGGCTGAGGAGGCGGCGCTGGAAGGCTAGAAGAGTGAAGACGGAAATATTAACTAATTTTAATCGCCTACCTGCCCGTGAAGGCAATCTTTTATGGCAATTAGCTTTTCGCTCTTTGAGAATACGTCCTTCTCGAATGGCGGTATGCTTCTAGGCCTTTAATTAGTGGTATCGCGAAACGAAAAACTTGTTTTATTAAGGTCCACCCTAAGCTGCTTCTTCAACCGTCTAGAATGAGTTTTGAAAATAAATATAGCATCGAACTTCACTGTCAAATGTTTTGCGTTATTCCTGGAATTTCCGACGAATTCTTTAATGTGGTCCTTTGTCTTGGTTTATCAACCGGGGAATTCCAGTGTGTTCAGAAATGTGGGACGGTACATAGCAAGGTTTTCGCAGATCACCTGAGGGATGTATCTACCAAACCGAAGTGATGAGCTAAAAGAAGAATGGACCAAACTTCTCCTAATAGATTTTTAGATCCTCTCACTCACGGTTATCGCTCGACATGAGGGGTGTTTATGGGGTGAGGCCCCCAAGAATCAATCACCACCAGCACTTACTTTGGCCACCACGGTAAACCTAACTTTCTAATCGGAATATTTCCGATCTAGCTATCATGGTGGCCTCAATTTCATTGCCATGACATCCTTAAACTCGAAATTATTACAGTGTCGGCTTCAGCAGAGAATTTTAGAAGGTAGAAGAATTCATTCGGGAGTCCGACTCCAGCATAAGCACGCTTCTATCTAACCCGAATGCAGAAGCGGGATGAGTGGTGACTGCCAGGAATTGTTGAACTTGTGTGATCTTCTACTAATTCGGCAATTAAAGGAGGGTTTACCTGTGGGGCTCGGCCTCCCACCAACTCTGATACGATGTAGCTAACTCTACCGCTCATACCGGATAACTTGAGCCCGATTTCCACGACCCCATTTACCGGTAATATCTAAACTTCCCTGTAGCCAAAATTTGTTCACTAGGGCGAAGTTTAATGAGATTCACTCTGGCCGTCATCTGCCATACTCATTCTTCAAAGATGTGATTTCGGCAGTTATCTCGAAGGCATCTCAGTTTGAAATGTGTATATGCGATAAAATACCTAGCTTCGGTCACATCTAGTTCTAGCAATACTCTGTCTACTATTTTGTGGTTCCTTTTCGGTACCGCTTTCTCTAACATACCCTACTCGTGTCTCTAACCACTGGATTATTTTCTAACCCTACAGCCCGTTTCCTAACACGATCCCGCAGTCTACGGCCTTTTGTTACTTCGAGCTTTCGATCTTCATTTCTGGTATCGCTACCGCTGCTATTATAGCCATATCCATTGCATACACAGCAATTAAAACCCCTGCTAGTCCATGTTTAAGATCTTGAAATCTGTGGCTTAATGTTTTAGTGTGAGGGAAAAAAAAAGAATTATTAGTCCTACGGTCACTCCAAGTGGCTCCAAATTAGATTTCCATAGGTTTTGATTATTATAGAATTCTGCATGGGTAAGTGCTTGTGCCAGCACCTGAATACCTGCAAGCATTTGGACACTCACGGGTGGCAGTAATTTAAGTTCACCTGTTGTTGAGAGCTTTTTATAGAAAATTACAGACCTCTTCGAGTTCCACGATCTGTTCATTCTCACCAACCGCTGATGCCTAACCCAGTTATTTGCTGCCTACCTTGGCACCATGCCACATGGTTACTCAATTGCATATGTAGACTCTTAGGCACACACCTTTAGCAATCAACTCAATTACTCATGGTCTTGGTGATCTCAAAAGCTCCACACTTTTCTGTTAGCTTGGGAATCCGTGGTAGGAGATGTTAGGCCGCCATTGTTCATGGTTGGCTTGAGTGCGTGCTATATCAAGCTTAGCTCTAGCCTAAATATTTATAGTGCCGAGCTTACAGGGTAGAGGCACCTGGCATCCACCTGCCTATGCAGAATAATACTTTTTTACATATTGGAACGTGGATTTGTAAAATAATTTGATGGCAGGGCATAGCGCAAAACTGGATGCTAAGGTCACGAAACTCTTGTTTCGCCATTGATTCTCTCCTGAACCCACTGCTAGATACTCTTTTGGACCTCATCTATTGTAGTGGGGAGTTGCTGGCGACCGCAGGTACCTTCGTGAGCAATCTGAAAGTCGACTGGACTTAGGCATAGGAGCTCTGAATGGAAATAAAACTGTAACTGTGGCGGTAAAATTATCGTTTAGCGTAAACATCAACTCGAAAGACCTTGGTCAGATTCCTTTACGAATGTTGGCCCATCATCTCTAAGCTCTTGTGATAATCACTGGTGCCATTCCCAGGATCGGCGTCCTTTGGCTTACACTTAGTGTAGAAAGGTTGCTTCCCGTTCCCGTGCGCTCCGTCTATTCTCATAAAACTTTGGCCCTTTGCTTTCAACATGTTTTGCGCTGCATCATCGAACCAGCCGTTGATGAAGTCTCCGTGTAAACAGTATCCTTCACCAATCTTTCTATAATGTTAGTATCCTCATATCTCAATAGAGGTTAGTCGTGCAAATATGCTCACCTCACCGCATGCTAACTTCATCGGTGGAACGCCACTCCAGCCTTGTGGGATTGCTTTACGCGTATCATAGCGAATCGAGAAGCGCAGTGAGGGCATCCGCTTCATACCCACTGGGCAGCGCCCGCCATTAGCCGCAGCATACGTATAGTTCGTGATATGGTCTGGATCCACACAGTCCGGGAAGCGGAGGATCGCTTGCATATGCGCACTGCAGGTCACTCGGGGAAGCGCAGCTCGAGGCCTGTTCTGCCGATCTTCGGGACCAGCATCACACCACCAGGTGATAGCAGTAATCTTCTCGTCGATATCTGCCTGGGTTTTGGCAGAAGCACTTCCGGCGACGGCATGGAAGTCTCGAGGGAACGGGATCTCCGCCTTGTCGATGTTTTCGTAGTACGTCTTGAAGGTCGCAGGATAGACCTCGGTGTAGTTATCACCGTTCACGTAGTAAAGGGTAGGGGCCCCTAAAAGGCTCTTGTTAATTCCTAATGCTTTGAAAGCCTTGGCGATAAAATAATAGACAGCTAGGATGATGGTTAAAAACAAACGTACAGTATATGGACAAATCATTCGGGTTTTCGCCAGATGGACAACCATTTTGCAATTGCTCTGTCGTTGGAAGATCCTTAGTGATAGCATCAGAGCCATAGAATGAATGCATATGCGATATATATTCCCCCGGGAAAACGATGGGGTCGATGTTCTTGCGCATGAAAGGCTTATGCTCGATGTCCGTAAGGGCGACAGCAGTGCCTGCTAGAAGAATAACTGTGAAGCGCATCTTGATACAATAGCACAAGAGGACAAGATTTGGAAAGAATGCCGCATTTGATAAATGTGGGGACCGTGGAGTAGATATAGCGAGCTCAGACCGCTCGGCATTTGCGCGTTGATCTAGACTGCCGGAGCTAAAATAGGCATTTTATTTAATATCCTAGTAATTCAGGCAGCACAAATTGCCATAGTGTGGTTGTATGGTGGTCAATTATACAAGGTCATATATGCATTGATTCCGGTAGCGTTTATTGGTTCCGAGCGACCAGGACTGGAGTCCTGTACCAACGGCGCACGCCCCGCCAAATCCGATTAAGCTTGGGCCGAATTAAATAACATATTCATTTCAGATTGACTCTGCCTCTTAAGCGAAAAAGTCTATCGCAACGTCGTTTAACTGCGGGGCATATTGAACGGGCGACCCGGATCCTGAAGCTCTAAATGTATTCAACGGCGCGAATGCTAGCTGCGCTTTTCGTGATTTCCGTATTTGGACTGATCAGGAGAATATTAAGACTCGGCGGAAGGCTAATTTCGGAGGGGGTTCAAGCATGCTTGTCTTTTCAGCACAGCAATGTACTGTGTATTACACGAGTAGAGAACCCCATCAAACGACTGGAGGCTGCTGAGCCTTTATTTGCCAGAGGGACGGTCTTACCAACCTGAAGCCGTGAGAGTACCTTGAATTCGCGCACGGAACTCTGTACAAGCTTTGGATCCGAACATCGAAATAGTGGTAGCTGTAGACCAAGAGCTCCCGCGACCCCGACGTTACTGAAAATCGTTGAAGTGATTCGGGCTAGGTGAAATTGAAGGGCTGATCGATGATAGGTTATCGAAAGAACTCTGGACCCTAAAGCAAGAGAGTGAACTCTTCTGAGAACTAGGTAATCAAACATGAGTTTAGGCTTTCCTCGTTGTCACCGTAAAGGGAAATTGATTCTGAACAGCTGACGGCAGGGGCTCATTACCAATAGCAAAGAGAAAAAATCTAATACATTTTCGCCTAATTTGGTGTGTGTAAGGACGGGGCTCCGCACCACTCCGCCAATACAACCAAAAGGTACGAATAATCAACCAACGTTGATTTTCGGGTGCAGAATAGTATATATACCCGTCGCACGTAAGCGCCATCTCGGCCTTACACTAGTTTGCTAGTTCTGATTTATTCTAAGATAGAGGTTAGGTACTTTCTAATAGTGCTAATCTAACTATTAAGGCATTAATTAAGGAGAATGTAGGATTTATACTTTCTAAGAGGATAGTAATTAATTTTACAATTTCTACTTACTAGGCACGTGCTAATTAGGACGTGCAGTTAGGTACACAGGTTATAATGTGTAAAGGTGATGCAGAGAAAGAGGATAGGCAGGCACTTAGGTGTACAGTCTAGGTAGCTAACTATGTAGGTATTAGAGAAGTTTAACCTGTTAAGGTTTACCTTTTATGCTATATAAGAAGAAGAGGGAAACAATCTAAAGAGGATAAGAATTAGAATATATATGTAAAATATATAATAGTATAGTAGCTTTATAAACTACTAGTACTACTTAGTTTATAGTAGAGATAAGACTAAATGATAATCACAGCCCTTCTAATAATAGCTGTAGTCTAAACTATATACATTTAGATTGCGCGTTGTGCTTGTTATGCGCGCAGCTTCACTTTTGTCTAAGTTACATGACTCTTCTCCTTCCTCTATAATTAAGAGGGGGTTCTACTAATAGTTATTGCCTAGCGCTACAGCAAACTAACATTTGCTTATTAACTATTTAGTAGTTGTAACATTAGTATATAAAATAAAAAAACTACTAGCTTTTTTCTAGAACAGACTACTAGTTATGTAGAGTAGTAATAGTGTAGGCTACAGCTTTATTATACGCATAAGGTGTAGGCATTAGCTTAGAAGTTAGCTACTATGCAACACTTAATACAAAAAAGGCACTAGTAGTGCTGCTATAATAATAAAGACATAAAGTTATAAGAATTTAACTATAGCTTTAAACTAAAACTATATAAAAGTACCTTATATACTGCACAACTTTAGCTACTTATAGCTGCAGGTTAGTGCTAGTAAGTAAAATACTATTAATATTATATATTAGTAAAGCTACTACACACTACTTCTTAGCTTATTTATATTAGCCTTTAGTATAAAAAAAAGAAGAGAAGTTAAAAGTTTTATATATTAATATAAACATACTATATAAACTACTAATTAGTAGTAAAACTAGTTAAAAAGGTAACATAAATGCGCCCTAGGCTGCTAGGCTATATAAGGACGTTAAAATCTCCTGCGCTAACAATATTAGAGTTAGAGAGACATGTGTGTGTGTGTGTATAGAAGAATCTGTTACTATTAGTTGTAAAGCTATGTGGAGCACCAAAGACATAAGGAACTAGGTTGTATTGTCTTCCTAGAGGAGTCCTTTGCGGGAGTCTATATATATGCGAAATAAGTGGGTGGGTCTTGGCAACAGACTATAGTGCTGATGCATCTGCCGATGCATCCGACCATCGTGTGACGACACATCCGACACATCCGACTATCGTGTAACCATGCTAACGATGCATCCGAGTCATCAATGCAAACATTAGTACTATATAAAAAAGAAAAAAAGCTAACGTACTTTACAAGTAAGTTGCTTACACACCTAAGTTACTTACTTTTACTAGGACTCTACTAAACTACTTTTCTTATACTAATGCATTTCTAACAACACTACTTAAACGCGCTAAAAAGATATTAGATATAGCTTACACTTTAAACTTTTAAATAAAACATAACACTTTTAAAATAATATGCTACAGCAATGTATAAGGTCTCTTAAAAATAATAAATAACTTATGCACTAGATAACATTTATAAGCTAATTCTACAGCTAACTTATAAAAGCTAGGTAATATTAAAATGCAGGTAATTATTAAGCCTCTACTTAAGCTATATATGCAAGGATTTTCCTCTTAGCTAGTAGCTATAGCTAATATAGCTAATTTTTTACGCGCTAAGCGTAACCTAGGCTATGTTAGCATAAACTAGCCTAGTATAGTTATAAAGTATTGTAGAGGATAAAATAGCCTAGCAGTAGCTGTTTAGAAGATTAGATAAAGTAACTCTTGCTATCTAAGAGAGCTAGAGGCTCTTCTTATATACACTAAGCTTTAGAACATAATATCTCTAGATCCTAAGCTGCGTCCTAGGCTCTAAGCTCTAGTCCTAGGCTCTAAGCCCTAGTCCTAGGCTCTAAGCCCTAGTTCTAGGCTCTAAGCCCTAGTCCTAGGCTCTAAGCCC